TGCTACTACTACTACTACTACTACTACTACTACTACTACTACTACTACTACTACTGCTACTGCTATTATTACTACTACTACTACTACTACTACTACTACTTCTACTACTACTACTACTACTACTACTACTGCTACGACTAGGACTACTGCTACTATTAACACGGCTACTACTGCTACTACTAGTACTTACGCCTTACCACCTGCGACTACGACGACTGCTACTACTGCTGTTACCACTGCTGCTACTACTACTACTACTACTACGACAACGACTACGGTACGACTATGACTACGACTACGACTGCGACTGCGACTACGACTACGGCGACGACGACGACGACTACTACTACTACGACAACGACAGCGGCTACTACTACTACTACTACTACTACTACTACTACTACTACTACGACGACGACGACGACGACGACGACGACGACGACGACGACGACGACGACGACGACGACGACGACGACGACTACTACTACTACTACTACGCCTACTCCTACTACTACTACTACTACTACTACTGCTGCTGCTGCTGCTGCTGCTGCTGCTGCTGCTGCTGCTGCTGCTGCTGCTACTGCCACTCCTACTCCTATTCTTACTGCTGCGACTGCTACTAGTGCTACTGCTACTGCCGTTGTTACTGCTATTGGTACTCCTGCTGCTACTCCTACTCCTCCGTCGTCCACCGAAGGAGGTGGGCCCAGCGCCGCGTCGCGCGGCGCCCCGCTGTCCTCGGAACGCGCCTGCTTCTCGGAGCCGCAGCGCGGGCACCGCTCCGCATGCCGGCGGAAGACGAGGTTGCCGCCTCAGCCGCGAATGGAGTGATGGGGGGAGGGACAGTCCTGAAAAGCGACCAGGGCTGCTCAATATTGCTACCCACGCGTAGAAATCTCACACTGTCGACTATCGCTCCAAGGACGACTATATACGTAGCATCCCGCCGATGCGGATAAGAGTGAGATGGCGGTGGGGACGTCGGCAGTTTGCGAGACTCTGGAGAAACCCGCCGCAGGCGCCAAAGTCTCACAAGTTATACAACGAGCCCGCCGCAGGCGCCGATATACCGTAGCAGCTTCAAGGATGGAGGGTGGCTCCTTTTCAAAATGTGGCTCTCGCTTGAGTGCCGCGTGCATTCTAGTCAAAAATTTAAAGCACCTTCAAACGTGGAGCATGTGTACTTTTTCGACATGTGACTCTCACCATCGCACCTCGCATGCTCACCTTAACACTGTGCAACAACTCAACATCTGGAGGTCTGTTTAAATTCAAGCTGTGGCTCCCACTTGTAGCACTACGTCATTCCTTCTCACATACAGTAGTAGCTTCAAGGATGGAGGGTGGCTCCTTTTCAAAATGTGGCTCTCGCTTGAGTGCCGCGTGCATTCTAGTCAAAGATTAAAGCACCTTCAAACGTGGAACATGTGTACTTTTTCGACATGTGACTCTCACCATCGCACCTCGCATGCTCATCTTAACACTGTACAGAAACTCATCATCTGGAGGTCTGTTTCAATTCAAGCTGTGGCTCCCACTTGTAGCACTCCGTGCGTTCCTTCTCACATACAGTAGTAGCTTCAAGGATGGATGGTGGCTCCTTTTCAAAATGTGGCTCTCGCTTGAGCGCCGCACGCGTTCTTAAAACGTGAAGAGTGTGTGTGTGTGTGTGTGTGTGTGTGTGTGTGTTTGCGCCGTGTGGCTCTCGCCATAGCACTGCGCACACTCATCCTAAGACTATGCATAAGCTTCACATGTGAAGGCCAGCTTCGATTCAAAATGTGGCTCTCGCTTTTAGCACCCTGCGAATTCCTTTCAACATGCCGTACCAACTTCAAGTCTGGAGGGTCGCTCCGTTTTCAACATGCGGTTATCGTTTGAGCGCCATGCGCATTTTTCTTACAAGTTTGCAGCAGTTTCTAGTCTGAGGTCTCAACATGTGGTTCACGCCTTAGCACCGCGCACACTCGTCTTACCAAGCTGCAGCAGCGTCAGATATGGAGGGCGGTTTTCAGGTTCCTCGTTTGAAGAGCGTGCGCATTCTTTCTGAACTGTTGTAGCAACTTCAAGGATGGAGGGTGGTTCCTTTTCCAGGTACGGCTCTCGCTGTAGCGCCGCTTACATTCTTCTTAACAGTTTGCGCCAGCGTCAAGGATTGAGCACACGATGCTTTCAACATGTGGCTCTCGCCTCAGAGCCTCGCACACGGTTTTGCACTCAACAATTAAACATGTCGGTGACCGCCCTTTTCCAAGATGGGGTTCTCGCTCGAGACTTCGTTCGCTTTGAAGACTCGGGGCTTCAACGCATGTATCACTGCACTGGTTCAGGGCGGCTCTTTTTTGAAAATGTAGCTCTCGCTCGAAACTTCCCTCGAAGTTGACAAACGCAAGCGACATTTTGTCACAGTTACACGGGCGGGGTGTGGTCCTTTGTTCGACAGGGGGACCTCGCTGGACACCTCGTTCCTGTATGGTCATCGTTTTCGCATTCCCACAGCACCTTTTCAACATGAGGCCCTCGCCAAGCTGGCAGCTCCAACTGTGCTGGTCTTTCAAGGAGAACGGTTCTTGATGTGAGCATGAGAGCTGGTAAGGACGTGTGCGGATGGGACTTGGGGCGGGAGGGTGTATTGTAACATCGCTAATGCATCTCGGGCTTGGTCTGCCTTTACTCCTCCTCCTCCTCCTCCTCCTTCTCCTTCTCTTCCCTCTGGGCACCCACTCAGACACAGTGGAACCAACTCTGCTGGTAAAGCCTTCCTCCTTCCCTTCCCTTCCCTCCCGCTTCTTCCTCACCCTGTGTCCATCCTCCTCCTCCTCGCACTTCTCGTTCTTCGACCGCATGTTGCCACCGCCGCTTTGCCGCCTTGGAGTGCCCTGGCCGCATTCCCTTCTCGAGCTGCTGAAAGGGGGAAGAGGGATGATGGAGGTAGGGGGTAGGAGGATGGGGCGGATGAGGATGAGGATGTATCAATGAACAAACAGGGTGAGGGGGGGGAGGGATGGAGGGGTAGGAGGAGGACGAAGAAGAGGAGGTGGATGTTCATATCCTGCTCATCCCTCCGCCCTCCTCTGCAAGAGGAGGAGGCGGAGGGACGAGGGATCAGGGACGAGGGAGGAATGATGATGATGATGATGATGATGATGATGATGATGATGATGATGATGATGATGATGATGATGATGATGATGGGAGAAGCAGCAGCAAGACCTTCGACGACTCCACATTTTCGAATCTGGGGGCGCTGGACCTCTCGATCTGATCCGTTGGGAACGGTTTTTCATCCCGAGTCGGTCATTTGATGGTCCCGAGGTTTCATGCGGGCTCCCCGAGGCGGAACTTTACCAGCACCCATCTCGCTGTTTTGTCGCGGCGCGAGGGTCGGGGATCTTCTGACCCGGGTCAATCCAGACCCAGGTCAACAGAAAACCAAAAACTGCAGTGCAGGAAAACAAAGCTGCAACGCAGGTCTTCGCAAACCCGGGTCAGCCAATCGGCGCGGCCGCCTCGCGCGGCCACGAGCGGCTCGCCAGCCCGGCTCGGCCAGAGGGGGTCTTCGCAGGATCCGGCAGGATCCGGCGCCCTGGCTGACCCCCGTCTGCACGGACCCTTATCTCGAGGCTCCCGATGAGGGGGTCTGAGAGGCGGAGCCGCTCTCGACCGGCGGCCGTCTGCGCCCGTGGCCGCGGCCACCCCTGAAGGGGCCCTGGGGCACACAAATAAATACACGCAGATAACATGATTCCCCATATTTTCTTCTATTTTCTGGGTTTTTGTCTCCCCCCCCACTTCCCATATTTTCGCATATTTTCCTGCGAGTCGACGATTAATTGTGTCTGTGTGTTTTTCCCCTCCTGAACCCCGAGGCCCGTCTGGGGCCGCCGCAGTTTCCGCAGAGCCAGTCCTCCGGGCGCGGAGGTCGTCCTCCTCCGTCGCGCCGGGAGGCCAACGCTCGCGGTGGCGACGTCACAGCCGCCGCCGTCGTCGTCGTGGTCGTCGTCACCATCGCGGCCGTCGCAGTCGCGTCGCCGTCTCCCTCGTCCGTCGCACTCATTCGTCGCCGTCGCAGTCACCGTCGTCGTAGTCGTCGTCGTCGTCGTCGTCGTCGTCGTCGTCGTTGTCGTCGTCCTCGCTGCGTCGTCGTCATCATCGCAATCGTCCGCCGCACTCGCTCGTGTCCGTCGCCGTCGCGCCTGTCGTCGCTGCTCGTTGTCGCGGTTTCGGCCGTCGACGCAGCGTCGTCGGCTCCCTCATCCATCGCTCTTGTTCGCCGCCGTCCGCCGCCGCCGCCGTCGTTGCTATCGTAGTCTCCGCCTTCGTCGTCGCAACGTGCCTGGGAAACCATCTGGGGCGTGCGTGTCAAGGGGCATGCCCAAGGGGCATGCCTGGGGGCGATGTCAGGGAGCGAATTTCTTCCCCAATGCGTGTACGCCTTTCTCTCTACGACGACTTTGCGGTATTCTCTAAGTCGAAGGAGAATCTCGGCATCATCACTGCAGCTGCAGTGCTCGCTTCCTTTCCTTAACTCGCCGATCGTGATGCTCGTGGTATCCTTCCCTCGACCCAGATTCCCACCTACGATCGGTCGCTCCTGCTGCGCGTCCTCGAACGGGGCGACGTCTGGGGGCGTGCGTTCCTCCATCGGGCACGCGCGGACTGCACCCGGGTCGGCCCTGGGCGCACCCTCCTCTCGCCATCGCTCGGACGTCCATTCCCTGTGCTTTGTCCGGTTTCGCGCGTAGCTTTTTTTCCCCAAATGATCAAGGATGCTCCTCGATTGTCCTCGCCGAAGGAAAACTGCACACGTCCGAGCGATGCCAAGTCCTCGAGCTGGCGCGTGCGCAGTGCAGGACGACGTCGTCCGGTGCGCCCGCGGGCGCACGGTCAGCCCCACCCCCGCTCGCGTGGCCCTGGCCCCACTGGCCGACTGACCTCCCCAGGGGGGGATCCATGCTGCTCCCTTCGAGTTTCGCGGGGCCCTTCTCCACTGGCGGGGTGGGATGGGGGGGCTGAGATGCCATGGCCCGGTGGGGATGGGGATCGGCTGGAGGACCCAGCATCCCCCCCCCCCACGGACCCCCGACGTCGTGTCTTCTGCGCAACCTGCCCCCCAGAGGTCTGGTCGGGACCCCTTCCCCGGCACCGGCAATTCATACTGGATTGTGCTTTTTGATGGTCTCGGGGCCCAGTGCGGGCCCCCAGAGGCTCTCCTCCTCCTCCTCCTCCTCCTCCTCCTCCTCCTCCTCCTCCCCTTCCCGCGGAGTCCTTGGGTCTCCGCGCGCGCCAAGCTGGCGCCGGCCGCACGGCCCGGCGTCGGCAGGACCTCGAGGGGCTCCGCGGGGGCCGTCGCGGCTGGGGCCAGCGAGAGACGGGCCAGCACCTCGGGCGCGGGCAGGTGGCAGGGGCGCCAGCTGCGAAGGGGCGCCGACGATCGAGGCCCTCGTTGTTCGGGGGGGGGGGGCGGGGGAGGGGGAAGCGGAGAGCGGACACCCCAGCGACAGATGATGCACGGAGGAGAGATGAAGGAGGGAAGCCGGGGTCGACGATCGAGGTCATTGCTGACTCCGTGGCGCTCTGTGGGCCCTCCTGGGGCGCCCGCGCGGCCGCGGCCCGGCGCAGGCGCACCTCGAGGGCTTCTGGCCAGCGTCCGCCCGAGGCGCCAGGGGGGCGGCCTTCCAAGAGGGCGTGGTCTTCTCGGGGTGGAGCGGGGGCTGCTCGGAGAGCTGCTCGGAGGGAGGGGGCCCTGAGAGGCCTTCCGCACACTGAGAGCCCAGCCCTGCAACCACTCGATTTTTGCGGGCCCCGGGACCCCGGAACCCTCGACCCAGTGAGGCATGTCATGTGCACCTTTCGGGTGACTGTTGGAAGGTCGCCGTACCCCGAAAATCGGACTCCAGACAACAGAGACGGCGAACTCCTGAGATCGAAGAGCAGCAGTGCTCCAGTAACAGAAACTTTCGGAGCTCCGCGCGGATGTATTGGATCGGCGCTGGAAAGGGCCACCACCATTAGAACTCCATAGAACTCCGGTCCCAATGGCCACCCACCCTAGCTGGTGGTGGTGGTGCCTACTTCTCTGGTGCGATGAGTAAGGGCACCTAACTTCGCGCTTCGCGCTGCGCGAGGCGCGAATGACTTCGCGCTCTGGCGCCGCCCCCCAACAGGCCATCGCTCGGACGTCCATTCCCTGTGCTTTTTCCGGTTTCGTGCGTGGTTTTTCCGCCAAATGATAAAGGATGTTCCTCAATGGTCCTCGCCGAAGGAAAAATGCACACGTCCGAGCGATGCCAAGCCAAGGGAGAAGAGGAGGCTGAGGACTCGGAGCCGAACCGCGAAGCGCGAACAACCTCGCGCCCTCGAGGGCGCCCTTGGCTCAGCGTCGATCTCTGCGGATCTCTGGGGGCCTGCGCGCCGCCTGGGCCGAGGGCGGGGGTCAGGCTCCGGCCGCGCGGGCAGCGGCACGCCCCAGGCCTCTGAGCGCCGCGGGCCCAGAGCTCCCTCTCGGAAGGCAGAGAGGATCTCACGGTGGAGCTCGAGCGTTAGACTTCGCTGGTCTCGAAACAGCTTCGTCGACCTGACGACCTCGTGGTGGCTCGCCTTAGGGGAACGAAAAATGACATAAACATAAAAACTCGGAGGTCCGCGCGGACCTCCGAGTTTTTATGTTTATATCATTGTTCGTTCCCCCACGCCTGCAGCTCTCGTTTCTCAGAGGGGTGTGCTATACCGAATATCTACCTGCGCCGTCTCCACCTGTGGGGCGCGCGGCCTCCGCGCGCGATCCTCCGCGTGCGATATCGGACCTTGCTTGCTCGCTTGCGGAGGCTTCGAGGGACGGGCCTCTGCGAAGGAGGGCTTCTAAGAGGCCCACCTGCTCTCTTGAGATGGCCCCCCTGCCCCCCGGCCTTCAGGACTCCAGGCGTCGCAAGCCCAGACCTCCTCCCCAGAAGGCAGGGGGAAAAGGGCTTCAGAAGGGATCGGTGGCTTCGAAAGACGGGCCTCTCGGAAGGCAGGAGGGTTTCTGAGACCCGCCCCAGAGAGGCGCTCCTCCCCTCGCCCTGCGCCACCCCCAGGGCAGGGAAGGGGGCAGACGCGGGAGGGCAGCGTCGCGACGCCAGGCCTCCTCCGTGGCGGGAGAATTCGAGACGGGCGGCTCTCCCGTCCGAGAGCAGAGCAGAGCCGGGCGCGCCACCGTCCGCCGGGCGGCGGGGCCCGAAGGGCCGGCGCGGTGGATGTTCTCGACGCGTGGCGCTGTGAGCTGTGCGTGCTGCAGAGGCGCTGCTTCTAATCTGCTCCACCTCGTGCTTACCTGCCTGGAACATATCCCCATCCCTATGATGGGCACCTCCTCATCACGATGCAAATCTTGGGGATTCCCTTATTTTTTGAGGGCGGATCCCTAAGATTGTCATCGCCTTTTGGCGTGTCAAGCTGAGGGATAGGGATACGTTCGAGGCTGGTAACGTGCTGTCGTGCTGTTCCGTCTCGGAAAGGGTTCGGGCTCGCCGCGGAAGGATGCGGACTCTTGCCGGAGTCTTGGGCCCTGGGGCGCCCGAGGACCCCCTAGGGGCGCCCGAGGACCCCTAGGGCGCCCTCTTCGCCATGGCGCTGGATCTGCCACGCAAGTCTGGACACAGCACACTCCTGGGTAGACCCCGGGGGGTCGATCCTGAGGTGGGCCCTGGCCTCTGGCGTCATACAGTCGGGGCGTTGACCTAAGGAACGATAAATAAGGAACGAGGCCCCTTTTTCCCAAATAGTAAACTCCGATTTTCCATGGAAAACCTCAGGAAAACCCAAGGAGCACTGTAAAGCAACTAAAGAACACGGAGCCCCTCCCCAACAAAAAGGGTTCCTTCTTCAGGGCCCCGACTGTAGCAAACTCGGAACGACAATGTGTCACCCTAAACTCGGACCTCTGAGGGGCCCACTTCGGGCCCCTCAAGGGACGTCGAACAGCTGACATGTGATGTAAAACCGGTCCTGGGAAGGGGTCGATAGGGAACCCACACAGGACGTACGCGCCTAACCACGGACATGAGCGCGGCCCCCCAAATCTGCGTGACCAGCCTCGTGATACGAACGTTTGCGCAAAGCGTACTCTCGAACACAACATAGATTCATGTCCGTCTACATCCTTCTTTCGCTCCTGGGTCGAGACGGCCTGGGGCCAACGCTGCGACAAAAACCGAGTCGTCGGAGGTCTAGGTGGCGCCGCGTTTTTGTCGAGGCTGCTCGCGGGGCGACTGGCCCTCCCTGATCCAGGTCAGGTATGCAGGACGAGAAGGAGATAGAGGCGAGGAAGAGGCGGATGAGGAGGAGGGGGAAGAGGAGGAAGAGGATGATGATGATGCTGATAATGATGATGATGATGATGATGATGATGATGATGATGATGATGATGATGAAGATGATGATGATGATGGTGATGATGATGATGATGATGATGATGGAGATGGAAACGGAGATGGAGGTGGTAATGGGATGGAGATGATGCTGCGGCTGCTGATGACGATGATGCTGATGATGCTGATGATGCAGATGATGCTGCTGATGATGATGGTGCTGATTCTGATGATGATGCCGATTCTGATGATGGCGGTGATGAACGATGATGCCGATGACGGTAATGATGATGCTGATGATGATGATGATGATGATGACGATGATGATGATGATGATGATGATGATGATGATGATGATGATGATGATGATGATGATGATGATGCAGATGGTGAGGATGCTGGTCATCATCATGATCATGGTCATGATTATGGTGAGTGAGTGAGTGAGCAAGTGAGAGAGGCACTCCCCAAAGTGGATCCATGAGCTGACTGGAAAGACTGAGCGCTTAGTGTGCAGTCACCTTAGATCTGCCATCAAACTGAGACACGTGGCGGAGGGAGAGGGAATCCATGGTTTGGTAATTTCTACAGCCCTCCGGATTGCCCCTCGCAAATCGGATGACAATCTGATCATTCACGCTTTTTTGGAAAAGCCACTGGCGGCGCCGGCTGGAAGCCCAGTCCGAGCTGTGTTCGCGAAAGCATTCGTGAAGCTGAGAGTCCCGTGCCTCTGCAGGTGGGCGAGCCACGGGAGGACGGAGCGGAGACCTGCAGGAGCCTCCTGGTTCGAGGCGCGCGTGCCTGGTACAGGAAGCGCCAACTTCCTCAAAGTGGAGAGGTCTTTTGAGCATCAGCAGCCATGCACGATGAATAGGATGATGATGGGCAAGAGGAGGAGGAGGAGGAGGAGGAGCGGATGAGGAGAAAGAGGAGGAGGAGGAGCAAGAGGAGGAGGAGGAGGAGGAGGAGGAGGAGGAGGAGAAGGAGGAGGAGGAGGAGCGGAGGAGGAGGAGGAGAAAGAGGAGGAGGAGGAGGAGGAGGAGGAGGAGGAGGAGGAGGAGGATGAGGAGGAGGAGGAGGAGAACACGTGTAAATCGAAGACTCATCAACGATGTTGCAATGGACCCTGCCTAAATTCCCTGTCCATGGGACCCTGGAAAGATTTATTTTTCACTTCGGGAAGAGCCCGTTGGGAGACAACCGTTGGAAATCTGGAAGTGTGTCAAAGCATCGTTCCTGGGACTCCAATATTTCGAATCAAAATGACTGTTTCGACCTGACGACCTTAATCGTGCCAGGACACCGTTTCTGGGGCGTCAGTACCGCGAATCAACGTGACTGTCGCTACCTAACAACCCTAAAGCGTGTCAGAACACCCATCTCTGGGAAAATCACCATGCGAATCCCTCAAACTGCTGTAAACTGTTAAAACGAATCTGCGCAACGCTAGAGCGATAACCACATGTGGAACAACAACCGCCCTCGATCCTTGAAACTCTTGCGACCTTTTAAAACGAATGTGCGTGGCGCTAAGGCGATCACCACATTTTGCAAAACAATCAATTCTCCATCCGTGAAGCCCTTGCGAACTTCTAAAGCGGATGTGCGGGGCGCTAAGGCGAGAACCACATGTTGAAAACGACCCGCCCTCCATCCGTGACACCCTTGCATTGCTTCAAACGAATGCGCGCGGTGCTCAAGCGAGAACGGCATTGTTCGAAAACCACCCGCCTTCCATCCGTGAAGCGCGTGCAAACTTTTAAAACGACTGCACGTTGTGCTAAAGCGAAAACCCTAGTCTGAAAACGGCCCGCCCTCTATCAATGAACATTTTGCAAATGTCAAGCTTCAGGGTCAGAAGCGGTGAAGAAATCTCAGGCGAAACGCCCAGTCCGTCCTACCGACCCATCTCGGGGTGCGACAGGAATGCATTAGTTCAAAGAAATATGGAAGGAGGAGTGGGAGGAGTAGGAGTAGTAGGAGTAGGAGGAGAAGGAGGAGAAGGAGGAGAAGCGACAATAACAATAATGAGTCTGTGCTAACCGAGGCGACGCGGATCTGCATGATCAGAGCTGCGGTGGAGCGGAGCCCAGCGAAGCGTCTAGGGTCCAGCGAAGGACAACCAACGGGGGCAAGTTTTATGAGCGGCGTCTGTGTCTGCGCACAAGCCGCCCCAAAGACTATGTTTTTTGTCGTGCAACCCTCCTGGATTCATAGGTGCACCCCGTCTGGAATTGCAGCTGCAGCCTGCGGAAAGACGGGCGCGCGCAGTCGGGGGCGGGCGCCTAACGACGTGCGATCGGCCGGGATCGCAGGTCTGATCGGGCCACGCCCAGGGTCGGTGCCTCCACGTGGTCGGTCAGCGGCAGGGGGTCTAGGACGAGGACCTGCAGGGGCGTTCCTTTCTTCCTCCTTCCCCTCCTCCTCCTCCTCCTCCGGCTCGGCTGGATCTACCCTTTGTTCTTCCTCGTCCTCCTCTTCCTTTTCACCCCCTGCTCCACATCATCTTCGTCTTTGTCATCCGAGTTTTTCCCCCTCCTCATCGTCCTCCTCCACAATCGCTCAATATGAATACTACTCTCCCCTCGCCCGCGAAGATGGCTTGGGAGTGGCCCGTCCGCTCCGCGTATTGCTTTTACTCTGTCATTCTAATATTATTTCGTTCGGCACGTCTTTGGAACATCAAGATGGTTCTGTCGCTGCAGCGTTGGCCTCATTTTAGGATCGGCGCTTTGCGCCCGTCGTTCAGAATGGCAATGTCGCCCCAACACGGACCACTTTTCTATATCCGACTTCTTTCTCATCGCTGTCGCTCCACTCCTTTCCCCTCCGCCACCTTCCCCTGGTCCTCCTTCTCCTCTCGCTCCTTACACTCCGATTCCCGCCGTTGCTGTTCGTCCCCGTCCTCCTCCTCATCCTTCCTCCTCCTCCTTGTTCTCCTGCTCTTTCTCCTGCTCATCCGCTACGTCCTCCTCCTCGTCGTATGTATGCAACTCCCCTTTTCTGGTGGTGTGTAGGTTTTTTCTCCTAAACTTGAAAAACAACAAGGGATTCCCAAACCAAGGGATTAAAAACTCTAGGTTGTCGCGCCTATATATATATATATATATATCCCAGCTCCGAGGCGTGGCAGAACACACAACTCGGAATTTAAACAACTAGGAAAGGCGCAGCGACGCGGCATGAAACAAAGCAAGGTTGTTGCTAGCAGGATAAAGCACCACGAATTGTTGTGGGTGCGCTCGGTATCGCACTCGTGGTTTTGCAAGGGATTGCCGCCAGTGGTTCTGCCCGCGGTTTTGCTGGTGGTTGTGCTGGTGGTTACGCTGCTGGTGGTTGTGCTGATGGTTTGTCCTGATGGTTGTGCTTCTGGTTGTGCTTGTGGTGGTTGTGCTAGTGGTCACGCTGGTGGTTGTGCGGGTGGTTGTGCTGGTGGCTGCGCTGGTGGTGGTTGTGCCAATGGTAACGCTGATGCTCATGCTGGTGGTTACTGGTGGTTGTGCTGCTGGTTGTGCGGGTAGTTGCGCGGGTGGTTGTGCGAGTGGTAATGCTGGTGGTTGTGCTGGTGGTTGTGCTGGTGGTTGTGCGGATGGTTGCGCTGCTAGCTACGCTGGTGGTGATTGTGTTGGTGGTTGCGCTGGCGCTTATGCTGGTGGTTGTGCTGGCAATTGTGCTGGTGGTTGTGCCAGTGGTTGTGCTGGTGATCTTGCTGGTGGTTGCTGGTCGTCGTGCGGGTGGTTGTGCTTATGGTTGCGCTGGTGGTGGTTGGGCTGGTGGTTGCGCTGGTGGTTGTGCTGGTGGTTGTGCTGGTGGTTGTGCTGGTGTCTGTGCTGGTGGTCGTGCGGGTGGTTGTGCGGGTGGCTGTGCGGGTGGTTGTGCTGGTGGTCACGCTGGTGATTGTGCCTGTAGTGGTTGTGCGGGTGGTTGTGCTGGCGGTTGTGTTGGCGGTTGTGCGGGCAGTCGTGCGGGTGGTTGTGCAGGTGGTTGTTCGAGTGGTTGTGCTGGTGGTTGTGCTGGTGGCTGTGCCTGTGGTTGTGCTTGTGGTTCTGATAGTGGTGGTTGTGCGGTTGGTTGTGCTGGCGGCTGTGCTAATTCTTGTGCTGGTGGTCATGCGGGTCGTAGTGCGGATGATGGTGCTGGTTGTTGTGCTGGCAATCGTCGTGGTGGTTGCGAGGGTGGCTGTGCGGGTGGTCGTGCTGGTGGCTGTGCGGGTGGTTGTTCTGGTGGTGGTGCGGGTGATTGTGTGGGTGGTTGTGCATGCGGTGATTGTGCGGATGGTTGTGCGGTTGGTTGTGCTGGCGGTCGTGCTAGTGGTCGTACTGGTGGTTGTGCTTGTCTAGTGCTGGTGATTCTGCTGGTGGTGATTGTGCGAGTGGTTGTGCGGGTGGTTGTGCTGGTGGTTCTACTGGTGGTTGTCGTGGTGGTTGTGCAGGCAATTGAGCTGGTGGTTGTGCGGGTGGTTGCGCTGGTGGTGGTTAAGCTGGTGGTTGTGCTGGTGGTTGTGATGGTGGTGATGCTGGTGGTAGTGCGGGTGGTTGAACCGGTGGTTGTGCGAGTGGTTGTGCTGGTGGTTGCGCTGCTGGTGGTTGTGCTTGTGGTAACGCTCGTGGTGGTTGTGCGGGTGGTTGTGCGTGTGGTTGTCCTGGTGATTGTGCTGGTGGTTGTGCTGGAGGTTGCGCGGGTGGTCGTGCTGGTGGTTCTGCTGGTGGTTCATCGGGTGTTTGTGCTGGAGGTGGCGTTCGTGATTGCAAGGGTGGTTGTGCTGGAAGCTGTGCTGGTGGTTGTGCGGATGATTGTGCTGGTGGCTTGGTGGTGGTCGTGATGGTGGTTGTGCGGGTGGTTGTGCTGGTGGTTCTGCTTGTGATTCTGCTGGTTCTTGTGCTGGTGGTTGTGCTCGTGGTGGATGTGCTGGTGGTTGTGCGGGTGGATGTGCTTGTGCTTACGCTGGTGGTTGTGCGGGGGTGGTGGTGCTAGTGTTTGGGCTGGCGGTTGTGCTGGTGGTGTTCGTGCTGGGGGCTGTGCTGGTGGTTGTGCGAGTGGTTGTGCGGGTGGTTGTGCTGTTGGTTATGCTGGTGGTTGGGCGGGTGGTTGTGCTGGTGGCGGTTGTTCGGGTGGCTGTGCCCTTCTTTGGCTGAGGAATTTGCTGGTGGTTGAGCGGCGGATTGTGCTGGTAGTTGTGCGGGTGGTTGTGCTGATGGTGATGCTGGTTGTTGGGTTGGTGGTGATTGTGCGGGTGGTTGTGCTGGTCATTGTGCCGGTCGGCGGATGTGTTGGTTGTGCTGGTGTGGTTGTGCGGGTGGTTCTGCGGTCGGTTGTGCTAGTGGTTGCGCGGGTGGACTTGCTGGTGGTTGTACGCGGGTGGTCGTGCTGGTTGTTCGGGTGGTTGTGCGAGTGGTTGTGCTGGTGGATGTGCGAGTGGTTGTGCTGTTCGTCGTGCGGGTGGTTGTGCTGGTGGTGGTTGTGCGGGTGGTTTTGCTAGCTGGTGGTTGTCGTGCGGGTGGTTGTGCGGGTGGTTGCGCTGATGGTTGTCGTGCGGTTGGTTGTGCTGGTGGTCGCTGTGCGGGTTGTCGTGCTGGTGGTTGTGCTGGTGGTTGTGCGGGTGGTTGTGCTGGTGGTTGTGTTGGTCGGCGCGCGAGCGGTTATGCTTGCGGTCGTGCGGGTGTCTGTGCTGGTGGCGGCACAGGAAGTGGCTGTGCGGGTGGCTGTGCGGGTGGTCGTGCGTGTGGTGGTTGCGCTGGTGGTTGTGCTGGAGGGGTGTGCTGGTGGTTGTTCGGCTGGCGATTGTGCGGGAAGCTGTGTTGCTGGTTATGCTGGTGTTCGTGCGAGTGGTTGTGCTGGTGGCTCTGCGGGTGGTTGTGCTGGTGGTGGTTGCGCGGGTGGTTGTGCCGGTGTTTGTGCGAGTGGTTGAACTGGTGTTCGTGCGGGTGGTTGTGCTGGTGATAGTTGCGTGGGTGGTTGCGCTGGTGGTTGTGTTGGTCGGCGTGCGGGCGGTTGTGCGGGCGGTCGTGCGGGTGGTTGTGCGGGTGGTTTCGCGGGTGGTTGTACTGGTGGTTGTGCGAGTGGTTGTGCGGTTGGTTGTGCTGGTGGTTGTGCGGGTGGCTGCGCTTGTGGTTGTGCTGGTGGTTGTGCTGGTTGTTGTGCTGGTGGTTGTGCTGGTGGATGTGCTGGTGGTTGTGTGAGTGTTTGTGCTGGTGGCTCTGCGGCTAGTTGTGCCTGTGGTAGTTGCGCGGGTGGTTGTGCTGGTGGTTGTGCGGGCGGCTGTGCGGGTGGTTGTGCGAGTGGTTGTGCTTGTGGTCGTGGTGGTGGTGGTGGTGGTTGTGCTGGCTGTTTTGCTGGTGGTTGTGCTTGGTGTTGTGCTGGTGATTGTGCGGGCGGTTGTGCTCTTGGTCGTGCTTGAGGTGGTTGTCCTTCTAGTGGTTGTGCTGGTGGTTGTGCTGGAAAGCTTGCGGTTGTTTTGCTGACGATTGTGCGGGTGGTTGTGCTGGTGGTGGCTGTGCGAGTGACCGTGCTGGTGGTTGCGCTGGTGGTTGTGCTAGTGGTTGTGCGAGTGGTTGTGCTGGTGGTTGTGCTGGGTGCTGTGCTGGTCGTCGTGCGGGTGGTGGTTGTGCCGGAGGTTGTGCTGGTGGTTGCGCTGGTATTTGTTGGGCTGGCGATTGTGCGGATATTTGTGCTGGTGGTTGTGCTGGTGGTCGCTGTGCGGGTTGTCGTGCTGGTGGTTGTGCTTTGCTGGGGGGTTGTGCGGGTGGTTGTGCGGGAGGTTGTGCTGGTGGGTGTGCTGGTGGTTGTGCTCGATGCTTTGCTGCTGGTGGTTGTGCTGGTGGTTGTGCCTGTGGTTGTGCTGGCTGTTTTGCTGGTGGTTGTGCCTGTGGTTGTGTTGGTGGTAGTGCTGATGGCAATTGTGCTGGCGGTTGCCCTGGTGTTTGTGCTGGTGTTCCAAGATGTGGCTGCGCTGGTGGTCGCACGGGCAATCACCGCCAACACGACACGCCATCACAACCGCCAGCCGAACAACCACCAGCACAACCCTCCAACACAACCAACACCAGCAAAACAGCCGCCAAGAACACCACACCCCAACAAAATCAAACACCGCACAACCACCATCGCAACCACCATCGTGACCACTATCGCAACCACCAACACAAACACCAACACGACCACCCGCACAACCACCCGCACAACCACCATCACAACCACCAGCAAAACCACCGACGCGACCACCAGCAGCAACTCATCGAGCACAACGACCAGCACAACCACCAGCACAACCTCCGACGCAACAACCAGCAACAACTCATCGAGCACAACCACCAGCACAACCACCAACGCAACCACCAGCACAACCACCAGCACAACCACCATCGCAACCACTCGCACAACCACCACCACAACCACCCGCACAACCACCAACATACCAACACGACCACCCGCACGACCACCCGCACAACCACCAACATAATCACCGCCAACATCGACAACAACACAACCACCACCGCGATCACCCGCACAACCACCAACCCAACCACCAACGCAACCACCGCCGCAACCACCCGCGTAACAACCAGCACAACCACAAGCACAATGACCAGCAAATCCACCAGCACAACCACCAGCGCAACCACCAGCACGGTCAACCGCACAACCACCACCAGCACAACCACCAGCACAACCACCCGCACAACCACCAAAACAACCACCATCGCAACGACTAGCACAACCACCCGCACAACCACCAGCGCAACCACAAACACAACCAGCAGCACAACCAACACCACGACGATGCCATACACATCGTCATTTTTTGATGACGCTTTTGAATAGGACTCACTGGAACAAACCAAAACATTTAAACAACATACTTTTAACGTAGGTCCGCGAGGCTGAGGCCGGGAATGCCGTCCTAGTTTTTTACATGTTCGTTTTTTTCTGGAGTTACAATTCCGCTATGAGACGAGTCCGCGGATAGAGACAACATCACCGCAACGGGAAGGGATGCGTCATGTCAGATATGGCGCGAACGCGCCTCGCTTGTTCTTCTCCCACTCGCCCTCCTCCTCTTCTCCCAACCTGCCTCCACCCTGTACACCTCGCGCCATATTCAGTGCAGGCCTTGGCGGCTTCAATGGTGTTGTAATCTAGACGTGAACTTTTGCAGCGCGTGTTCGCCTTGGGCCCCCCAAAATGCAACCGACGTGCAATCATAACGGCACCGCGGCGGCTCATAAGAAAACTGCAAGTGCACCACCCGCGTTGACCAGCACGAGTCCTACCAGTTTTGCGTTGTAGTCATCGGGTCATGATGTCACACTCTTCGAAAATAGCTAAATGTGTGTGTATGTTTGCTGCTATATGACGGCACATCGGTGTGCGTATATACGTGCTGCATGCGGCATGCAAATGGCGCGTGGCCTGGCCCTTGCACATGCATTGGCACAAGTTGAGGTAATCTTAATAATACAAATGATAATAGAAAGCATAATACCAATAATATTAACAATACTTATATGAATAATACAACTGTTAATAATAAGAAGAATACTAATCATAAGAAGAAGACGAAGAGGGCGAACCAGACGAGGACTAGGAAGAAACCTATGGGGAGACAGAACGGGCAGGAAACCGCAAAAAGGACCAGGGGGAAAGGAACAACAATGAGAGAGCAGAGGGGGGGACAACCGCGCCGTGACGCGCGGAATCAAACGTCGGGGCGTGGGGCCGGGCGGGGGAAGAAGCCGGAGCGGGATCGGCTGGCCGAGGCGGACGGTCGGTGCCGCGCCGTGCTGGTATTCTTTGAAGGGAAGAGACGCGGGCCAACACCGTCTCTGGCCCGTCCCCTCTCCTGCCCGGCCATGCTTCGTCTTGGGCGTTGTATGAATCAAGGGGCCCAAGGACACACAAATGAATACACAAATAACGAGATCCCCATATTTTCTTATATTTTCTGGGTGTTTGTCTTCCCCCACACTTCCTATCTTTTCCCATATTTTCTGGGGAATCGATGAATAATTGTGTCTGTGTGTTTTTTCCCCTCCTGAATGAAGGCGGGCGCGGGCGGGAAGCGTTTGTGGTCCGCTCCCGTTCTGCCCCAGTCACGCTGGGGTTTGGGCACTGCCTCGATGTGCGGAGTGGGGGGGAATCCGTCCGCTCTGATCCTCGGCCAAGCTGGGTTTTGGGTATTTTTTCCACGGGCGTGGGTTGGACGAGAGACGGTTCTTTCCCGCCCTGGCTCCTCCATAGCCCAAGCACGGGCTTGGGATTTCGGTATTGTTTCAAGGGGCGAGGGCGTACAGCGGCCGCCGTTCCCGGTCCTTACTCGCTGGGCTAGGGCTTGGAGCGCTGCCCCGAAGAGCGGGCGTGAGCAAGGGCCTTGTCTGTTCCGCCCCCGTCCCTTCCCAGCCGCGCCAAGGTTTCGGTGTTGCTTCAGGACGGGCCAGGGCCAGGGCCTCGCCTGAGTGAAGCCCCCGCCACCCCGACCTTGTTGCCCCGCGCGGCACGGTGCGACGCGGCGGGACGCGGCGCCGCCCCTCCGCCGCGCCGAAGCAGCTCCTGCCCCCCGCCTTTCGACCAAGCCCGCGCCCATTCCGCCCCGACCTTTTTCTGCTCCGCGCGGGGCGTCGAGGCGCGGCGCCGCCCTTCGCCCGCGGCCGGACAGCCCCGCCCCGCTTGGCCAGGCCGCCCCGCGCCTCGTCCGCCCCGGCTTCTCTGCGTTGCATGGCAGCGCACTGCGCCGCCCCTCCGCCGCGCCCACCCGTGTCGCCTCTTCCGCCTGCAGGCCGCGCGCCCCCTTTCCGCCTTGGAGCTCCCCCCCCCCCGCGCGGCACGGCGCGGCGCCGCAGCCCCCGGTCGGCCCCGCCGTCCCCCATCAGGCCCCGCGGTCACTTTGACCCTACGGCGGGGCGCCAGCCCCCCTCCATCTGCAGTCGTGCCTCCCCCCTTCGCCACGATTTCCTAAGATCCTGCGTCCTGCCACCGCAGCGAGTCGCCCTCGCGCGCCGCCGAGAAGCGCCGCCGACCCCCTCGAACGCGGCCCGCCCGCTCCCTCTCGCTAGCCAGCCCCAGGCCCTCCCCCAGCCAGCCCCGAGCCCTCTGGCTGATCCAAGGCGCGCCGTTGTTGCGAGGCGCGGGCAGGGTCTTCGCGGGCACCTCGTCGATGAACCGCGGCTCGAAGTCCTTCAACGTGGGCGCGCGGACGACGGGGCGCCTGGCGAAGACGCGCCCAGTCGCGTGATTCCATAACGTCTGGATCACGCGGGGCTCTTCCCAACCGAAGAAGATAAGGAACTTCGGGTCGTGGATCTCCTGGGGGCGGAGGAACGTTGCGCCACTTGGCTACCTGCAGTCGTTCAGCGGCCAAGGGGTCCGCGCGGCGCAAGGGCGGGCCAGGGGCGGGTCACTAACCAAATGGCGCCGCGTTTCCCCCTGCTCAACGATGCTTGTTTGCGAACTTCATGAACTGGTTGAAATTGTTTCGGGCCCATATTGTCGACGTAACGGTGCCCCCCGAACTTCCCGTCCCGCTCGATGGAACGCCTGCCAGGCTTCGCCGTGGACGTCAGCGTGGATGCACGAGGAACTTCACAAGTCGTTCGTTGCTTGGTATTCCCTGTCCTCTGCGAGTTTACTCTCGTGCTTCGAGGTCTTCTGCCTGGAGTTCCCCGTGGTTGCAGGCGTGAGCCCTGGGGGCCCTATCGCCCTGGCGCGGGCCAGACGGATGGTGACCGCAAGCAGACTGGGGAATGAAACGGGTCGCATGCGATTGCTCCTTCCCTTTCCATTGTCCGTCCCTTTTTCTATCAGCAAATCCTCCCTGCCACGCCCCCTGGGCGTATCTGTAGGGCGGGTCGGGTGTTTCGCTTGGGCTTCTCTCGCCAAGTATGACGCTGAGGCTTGAGATTGTGGCAGCGCCAAGGATGGAAGGGGGTCGGTTTCAAAAGGTGGAGCTCGCCTGAACGCCGCGCGCATTCGTTTGTGATCTGTGCAACAACAGATGGACCGCAAGTGGTTTTCAACGTGCGGCTCTCGCCTCGGCGCCGCATGCATTCGTCTTTAACCTTTGCGCGCGTTCCAACATGAAGGGCTGCTCCTTTTCAACGTGTGGTTCTCGCCTTAGCGCCGAGCACATCTGTCTTCAACGTTTGCTGCGCTCGCAGGCACGCAAGGGGGGGCCGCTTTCAAAGTTGAGCCCCTCCCAGCGCCGAGCGCATTCGTCTTGAACGCCGGCGACAGCTGCAGGGATGGAGGGCGGCTCCCTCTCAAGATGTGGCTCTCGCCTAAGCGCAGTGCGCAATCGTTTCAAAGGTTTTCTAGAGGGATGAACAAACGGCCCTACCCTGGGTTACAAGTGCGTGGTCTGTAAACCTCCTGGGAGCCCCCAGAGCCTAGAGCCGCCAGGACGCGGCACATCACGCAGGTTTTACCCTGTCAGCCCACAGGAGTTTCAGCGCACAGCGCCTCGTAAACCAGGGTAGGGGCGTCTTCCATGCCCTTGATTTTCAGCGCTCGCAGCGACAAGGAAGAAGGGGGGGGGGGGGACGTCGGCCCCTGGGCGCCCCTGCCGCCGCTGTGGGCGAGCTCCCCGCCCGCGGCCGTCGGGGGGGGGTCACGGCCGCAGCTTCTTCCGCGTCCACCGCGGCCGCCCCGCCAACGGCTGCCGCCCGCCCCCGCGCCCCGCCGCCGCCCTCCCCTGGCTCTGCCTTCGACGGCGCCGGGCCGCCCCTGCGTGTTGCGCTTGCGCCCCCCTCCTGCCTCTTCGCCCCCTCCTCCTCGTTCTCCTCCTCCCCCTCCCATTCCTCCTCGCCTTCTTGAGCTTCGTCTCCCTCTTCCTCCTCCTCCTCCTCCTCCTCCTCGTTTTCTCCTCCTCCTCCTCCTCGTTCTCCTCTTCCTCTTCCGCTCCCTCCTCGTCCTCGTCATCCCGTTCCTCCTGCTGTTGCTCCTCCCCCGTCGTCATCCCCATCTTCCCCTTCCGTTCTCTCATCGATTCCCTCCCCCTCCCCCCCTTCTCTCCCCCCTTCTCTCCCCCCCTCTCTCCCCCTCGCCCCGCCCTCTCATGCTGCTCTTCCTCATCCCCCTTCTTTCTCCCATTCTTCCTCATCGCCCTTCCTCCTTCCCTCCTCCTCGTCCTCGCACTGACCTTCTCGTCCTACACACTGCGCCCCGTGTTCGCATGGCGGGCGAGGGCGCTCCGCGAAAGCGGCGGCTTCGTCCGCGGTCGCGCCGCTTCCCAGCCGCCTCGGAGACCCCGCGCCAGACCGAGGGCAAGCCTCTCCGAGCGACGCTGGCGTGCCTGGGGCTGCGCTCTTCCCGTCCCGCCAATTGAGGGACGAAAAAACGGCCCTACCCTGGGTTACAAGTGCGTGATCTGTAAACCTCCTGGGAACCCCCAAAGCCTAGAGCCGCCAGGACGCGGCACACCGCGCAGGCTTTACCCTGTCAGCCCACTGGAGTTTCAGCGCACAGTGCCTCGTAAACAAGGGTAGGGGCGTCTTCTTATGCCCTTGAGCCACGCCCGAGAGAGCGTCGCCTGCGCTTTTGGGGGGCGCCGCGCTGGAGCGCGGCGGGCACCCGTCGAGCGCGACAGCGATCGGGGGTCGCCCCCGTTCCGACTGCACCAATGCCAGCGGGGCGCCAACCTGCCCCTCCAGGGGCGGGGGGCCCCGCCCCGGGTCGCGGCAGGCACTTTCAAGCTGCACTGCGTCGGCCCCAGGATCAAGTCGGGCCTGTCCCCCTACAGGGGGATTTTCGACGAAAAATAAAAAACACAAAAATAGCCAAAAAATAATTCAAAAATAGTCTGGGGATTATTTTTTAATGTTTTTTGACCTTTTTGGGGCATTTTTTGGGGTATGTCGTATTTTTCGTCAAAACTCCCCCTGTAGGGGGGACACGCCCGACATCACCCCAGGAGCGCCTCTCTGCGTCTCCCCGGGGCGCCGCAGGCGCCCCGCGGCGAGCACTTCCAGGCCGCGCGCCTCGTCGGGGGCCCCGCCCTTCCTGCCCCACTGCTCCCCCCCAGCGACGGCGCGCCCGAGCCGCGGGCCGCCGGGACCTTTTCTCGGGTCGGGCGAAAGGGGGGGACAACAAAGGGGGGGTTTGAGAATCAGCTCGCGTAGCTGATTTTCCCGGCGCCTCCCGGCGCCGGAGGCGGCTACGTGTCGAGGAATGGGCCCCTCGGTGAGGCCGAAGCCGAGACCAGCTGCATGCAGCAAATTTCGCATCCCCCCCCTTTTCCAATCCCCCCCTCTCGTCCGGCCCGACTTCCGCGCCGCGCCAGGGGGGTCCCGCGGGGGGCGGCGGGCGCGGCGTGGCCCAGGCGGCCCGGGCGAGCGCGCCGCTGCCTCCGGGCGGGCGCCTCGCGGCGGCCGCCCCTCTCGCGGGCCCTGGCGGCCCCCGGCAGCCGCGCCCGCCCCGCGGCCGAGGCGCGCGTATGCCGGCGAGCTTCGCTGTCCGCTCCGCCCGCCTCGCGCGAGGGGGCGCGCGGTGCGCCGCGGCGCGGGCGGGCAGGCCGTCCCTCGGCGGCCGCGCCGCGCCCGGCGCGGACGCCGGGCGGGGACGCCGGGCGCTCCGCGGCTTCCTCTCCTGCGCCCTCTTCGAGCGGGAGGTCTTCCTGCGCCTCGCCCGTGCCGTGCCGCCCGCGGCGGACCCGGCCGTGGCTGCGCTCGTCCAGCCTGGGGGCGCCGCGCCGCCGATGCGGCGGCGGCGCCCGCGGAGCGACGAGGAAGTCGAGAGAAGACGCCCCAACATGACAGCAGTGGTGTCCACGTCTCAGTCGCTGCCGCCGCAGTCGTCGTTGCCTTCGCCTTCACCCTCACCTTCGTCGCCGCCGCCGTGGTAGTCGTCGTCGTCGTCGTCGTCGTCGTCGTCGTCGCCGTCGTCGCCGTCGTCGTCGTCGTCGTCGTCGTCGTCGTCGTCGTCGTCGTCGTCGTCGTCGTCGTCGTCGTCGTCGTCGTCGCGGCCTCCTCGGCCACGGCAAGGGGCCCCAAGCGCTGCAGGTCGCGGAGGAGGCAATCCACGCCTCGGGGCGCCGTCCCGGACTTCCTCCCCCCACACCTCTGGCGTGGCGTTTGCTTTGGCCGCCCGCGCCTGCCAGGATCTAGACACGAGTGCTCCGCGCGGTGTCTGCACGGGTTGCGTCCCTTCCTGGCCATCGCTCGGACGTCCATTCCCTGTGTTTTTCTCGGTTCCGTGCGTGGCTTTTTTTCGCGAAATTCTCAGGGATGCTCCTCGATGGTCCTCGCCGAGAAAAAAATGCACACGTCCGAGCGATGCCAGGCTTCGGGCTGGAACGACGCAGGGCGACTCCTTCTCGGAGCGGGGCTCTCCCGCCTGCGTGGCAGGCCCACGGGGCACCCGTCGTTCACGGGTGCGCTCGGCGTTCGCCTCGAACGCTCGCAACAGCTCAGGCGCGCAGCTCGTTTTTGCAACATTGGAGAGGCACCCGTCGGCGCCGACCTCCTCCTCCTCCTCCTCCTCCTCCTCCTCCTCCTCCTCCTCCTCCCCGTGCTGTCGTGGCGCTCGCGCGGTCGTGCCCGCTCCCCGCCAACCTTGCCCAGGAGGCCTGCCTCCAGCCTCTCCGTGGGTCACGCATTCGTCGATGTTGATGTTTTTGCGCTCCCCTCCCCCCTTCTCTTCGGCCCGTGCTGGCGTCCCCCCTTTCCTGCCCCCCCCTCCTGTCGCCCTCTTCCTCTGGCCTGTTTCTCCGGCCCGTGTCCCTGCCCCCCCCCCCTCCCGCCCCGCCCGTGCTCCCCCCCCCTTTTCGCTCCTCTTGCGCCTCTCCCTCCTGTCTCTCTCCCCCCCCCCTTCCCGCTCTTCCCGCCCCTCCTGCGTGTCTGCTGCTGCTGCTGCTGCTGCTGCTCCTCCTCCTTGTCTTTCCGCCTCCCCCCTCCCTTCTGGTGCCCTCCTGGGTTTCTTCCTCCTCCTCCTCCTCCTCCTCCTCCTTCCGCTCCCCACCTCCGTGATCGCAAGTGTGTTCGATCCCCGCCAGGTTTCGTCTGCCCGCCTAAGCTTCTGCAGGATCTGTCATCTTCAAGGCGGCATCGGACGCGCGGTGCACCCCAATCTTCTCTCTCGCCCATCCCCTCGGCAAGGACCGCCAACAGGCATCGCCGGCGAGGACCGCCAATGGGCCTCACCCCCCTCACAGCTTACATCAATCGGGCTGCGAAGGTTCCCGCTCCCACCAGTCAACCTTCAACTTCGCCGTCAATTGGCACAGGGGGCCGAGGACTCCCCTACTGTCCCTCGGCCAACGAAGACGGCAGTAGGGGGGGGTAACACGTACCTCCACCTCAAGGCACATGCGCCACCACCCCAATTCAGGGCGCCAAATGCCACCTACAGTACCCATCCCCCTTTCTCCTCTTCCCCCCCGCTTCCCCTGCCTCCTCCTGCCTCTTCCTCCCCCCCTTCCCTGTTCCTGATAGATAATTTGTCCGTGTCGCACACCCCAAACGTGCTGGTAGGACAGGCCGGGCGCTTCGCCTGATCGTGAATATTGAAATTAGCAGTAGCTGCAAGGATGGAGGGGGGCTCGTTTTTCAAAAGAGGCTCTCGCCTTAATGCCGCACGCATCCGTCTTGAACGTATGCAACACCTTAACCAACGGAGCACATATGGTTTTCAAACTGGGGATCCCGCAGCGCCGCGCACATTCGACTTGAAACATTGCAACAGTTTCAAAGACGGAGCGCAGGTCGTTTTCAAATTGGGGCTCTCGCCTCAGCGCCGCGTCCGTTCGTCTTTTACAGGTTTGCAACGATTGCGCGGATGGGTCGAGGATCGTTTCCAACATGGGGCTCTCGCCTCAGCGCCGCGCACATTCGGATTCAACAGTTGTGAACGTTTCAGGGATGGGAGGCGGCTCCTTCTCGAAGTGCGGATCTCTCCCTCATGCCGCGTGCATTCGTCTGATGGAACTCTCGCCTTGGCGCCGCGCGCATTCGATCTCAGCAGCTACCGAGATGGATGCGGGGGTTGCCTTGAAAACTGGACTTGCCCTTGCGCCACGCGCATTCTTTCTAAAATCAGGCAGCACTTGAATGGAGCTTGCTTGCTTTATATATATATATAACAAAAAATAAACAAACAAAAACGTGTCTCTCGCCTGAGACTTTCGCACATAGGAAGACCAGGCAACCGAAAACATATGACATCTGCATGGGTGGACAACGATTCCTGTTCACAATGGGGCCCTCGTCTTATTCCGTCTTCCTCGGGTTCATCCTGGCCATGCGCGTAGCCTTGGGCAACACCTGCGCAGATGGGGGCGGTCCTGTTTCTGAACGGGGATCTCGCTGGACGCCTCTCTGAACTGTTTGATGCTACCGCTACCTTTTCGCACTCATTTTTTTGTCGCTGGAGAGATGCTAGGCAATTTGTTCTTTTCTCGCTTGGATGACAGTCCCATGGGTCGCCCGTCTTTCAAGGGTGCGCTCTACGTGGGACAGGTCGTTCCCCTTCGTTGTCGTCATCCTTCTGCTCCTCCCCATTCTCCTCTCGCTCCCTCCTTCTGCCTCCTCTTGCCTCCTCCTCCCCCTCTTCCTCCTACTCCTCCTCTTCCTCCACCCTTCTCATCGTCGTCGTCGTCGTTGTCCTCCTCCTCCTCCTCCTCCTTCTCCGCCTCCTCCTCCCCCTCCTCCTCCTCCTCCTCCTCATCCTCCTCCTCCTCCTCCTCCTCCCCCATTAACTCGATGAAAGGCCGAGGTCAGCACCGCTCGACAGGTACAGCACGCTCGAGAAGCTCCCCCGCAGCAGCAATCGCAGGGCCCCCGCGTCCAGCCCGGAGCAGCGCGGGTGCACTAGCAGCACCCGCGGGCCCGCGGCATCGCCCAGGAGCTCCTCCTCGGCGCCGCCGCCGTCGCCGCCACATCGCTGTCGACGCCGCCGCGGTTGCTGCCGTCGTCGTCGTCGTCGTCGTCGTCGTCGTCGTCGTCGTCGTCGGCGTTTTCGTCGTCGTCGTCGCTTGTTGTCGCTCCTCGTCGCACGCCGCTGTTCGCCGTCCTCGCTGATCGCTTGTCGCTGGTCGCTCGGGGCCCACGGCGAAACTCAGGAGCTTCTTTGAGGCGCCAGGGGGGCAGGGAGATAATCGGTGCTTGTTTTTACATGTGGGTTGCTTTTCTGGAGACTTCTCGTCGCCACGGCCACTTTTGTGACTTTTCTGGGTCTGCTTCGAAATTCTGGCCGGCATGCACCCCTGGAGAAGCCTGGGGGCTGATTTTTGAGGGCGGACGAGGAAGATGAGGGGGAGGTAGATGGCTGGCTTTGGAGGGCGGGGGCGAGGATGATATTCTGATGATGATGATGATGATGATGATGATGATGATGATGATGATGATAATGATGATGATGATGATGATGCTGATGATGATGATGATAATGATGATGGTGCTGATGATGATGGTGATGCTGATGATGGTGATGATGATGATGCTGACGCTGACGCTGACGCTGACGCTGACGATGACGATGACGATGATGATGATGATGATGATGATGATGATGATGATGATGATGATGATGATGATGATGATGATGATGATGATGGAGGAGGAGGACGAGGAGGAGGAAGAGGAGGAGGAAGAGGAGGAGGAGGAAGAGGAGGAGGAGGAGGAGGAGGAAGAGGTGGAGGAGGAACTCCTCCTGGCACGTGGGGCGGCCCGCCCACGTCGCTGCTTCCCCAGCCCGCCCCAGGGGCCAGGACGACGAGGACGGTGGCGACAACGCCGAGGGCGGCGAGGCGCGCCGGCGGAGGCGCCGGGTGCGCCGCCGGCGGGGGCCCAGCGCCGAGCCTCAAGTCGGGCGTGTCCCCCTACAGGGGGATTTTCGACGAAAAATAAGAAATACAAACAAGAACTCCAAAATGGTCAAGAATTCCCCCAAAAACTAGTTCCCAGACTGTTTTTTTGACTATTTTTCCAATATGCACCCTGTAGAGGGACAGGCCCGACTTAAGCCGAGCCCGGAATGACACGGGGATCTCTGGACATGTTGAGCTTCTCTCGTCTTGTGTGCTTCGAGCCTGGTCCGTTCCGAGCCAGAGCTGCCCCTGCGTTTCAGCAACTCCGACCGTGTACCAGTGGAAGGCAGCTGCTTCGGGGATCTCCGGACATGTTGAGCTTTTCTCGCTTTGTGTGCTTCGAGCCTGGTCCGTTCCGAGCCAGAACTGCCCCCGCGTTTCAGCAGCTCCGAACGTGTATCAGTGGAAGGGCAGCTGCTTCGCATCGGCCGCCTCAGCCGGAAGCTGGCGCGTGCGAGTGCTGTCCACCTTGATGGTCGTGCTCTGGCTTCGCCTCCTCCTCCACCTCCTCGACCTTCTCACCTTCCATCTTACCCCTTCCTCCGGTAAGATGCTCGAGCGTTCGAAATACGAAGTGTCTTCCATGATCGCGGCCTTCCATGTGACGCCTACGCCAAGCCAGGAAACCCGCTCGCCACGCCCACCCTGACGCTTCGACAAACACATAGCCCCCAAATCCTGAACACAAACTGGCTTTGAATGTTACTGTGTATTTCTATCGTGCGTCAACATCGCGCCCGAGCTTATATTTGATCCACATTGGTAACCAGCCCCGGGGAGGACTGGGGAGTGAGAGGAAGGTGGAAAACTAGCAAGGTGACGAATGAAGCTTCGACGATGGGGAGGAAGGAGAAGTAACGCCGTACATGACCTTGGCGATGGTCTGATTTGTCGCTACTGGCTGCTTCTGCGAGTGGATGCCAAAGTGGCTTTGGCTGCGGCGGCGCTGGGGGGTGAGAGGAAGGAGGATAACTAGCAAGGTGACGAATGAAGCTTCGACGATGGGGAGGAAGGAAAAGTAACGCCGTACTCGATCTTGGCGATGGTCTGATGTGTCGCTGATGGCTGCTTCTGCGAGTGGGTGCCAAAGTGCCTGTGGCTGCGGCGGCGGACGTCGTCGAGGCCGTGGGCGTCGTCTTCGGTCTGTGCCCGAGACTCTTGGGGCGGCAAAAAGGAACCGATACCGCTACTCCTATGTCGGGCGTGTCCCCCTACAGGAGGATTTTCGACGAAAAATTACCCTGCGACGTACCCAACCCACGTGCATCAAATGGCAAGAGGAGTATGCCAACATTAGCAGGAACAACGACAGTGTACACGCGGCGATTTGCTGTGCAAGCTACATGGGATGCGCATGCGTTGCACGATTCACAGGACGACGATCGAAAGAACGAGGCTGGAGGCCCCAGGATCGAAGAAGAACGGGTACGGGAACGAGGGGTAGGAGAGGGATGGAATGGAGGGCGGGGGGGGCGAAAGGCCATCGCGGAAGCAGCGGCGTGCATGGAGAAGGTGAGGCGGGGAATAGGATGACGATGAAAGTGGCGGGGGGAGACAGAAGACTGCCGCGTTTTTCAAGTGCGAACTAAACCAGCATCGCTGCCTGCGCCATGTCGTCGCAGAGTTACACATGATAAAACTTGTTTAGAGTGCAAGGAACGAGCGAGGCGTAGCTCGCCCGCTAGCTTCTCCGCCTCCTTCCCGCGCATTTCAGCGCGGGAGCTGAACGCTCGCAGGCGCGCCGCCAGGTCTGCGGGCGGCCCGCGGGAAAGAAACTCAAGGCCGGGGTCGCGTATCATCAATCGGTTGTCCATCGTCCAAAGTTGCACTGGCGACGTACTGGTTGAACGCGGAGCGAGCAGCATCACGCGCGTGCCTGAACGCCACGCAGGTACAGTGCACGCGCGATTGGGACTTCAGGTCGATCACGCGCGTCTCCACCAGGCTTGGCAACACCACGCGACTGAGGATCTCACTGCGGTCTGCCATGCTGCTGTCCGCGAATGCAATGCGCTGCCTGCAAGTAAGGCGGCGGCGTCCACTTGTCTCAGAAGATGTTCCCGCGGGCCCGAAGGGCGACCGCCAGCTCGAGCCGCGGCGCCGGCAGGCCAGATAAGGATCATGCAACAGCAAAGACGATGACAGAGCAACGAGGTATCGGCGAGTGCATGACCGGCCTCCGTTTCCTGCACTTCTTTCCTGTAGTTCCCCTAGCTCATCGAGCTCAGCAGATGTTTCTGCGGGTCCGAAGGACGACCGCCAGCTCGAGTCGCAGCGCCACGTGGCACGAACCGCAGAGCAAGGGCACGCGAGCATTGCTCGTGGTCAGAATCTGAGTCCCCGTGGTGCCTCACTCCGCTGGCCACCCACCAGCAGCCCTCGAAAGTGGCGACAGTTTCACAGATCGCAGCCGCCCAGGGGTGGCGAGGTCTAATCTGAGTCCCCGTGGTGCCTCACTCCGCTGGACCCACCAGCAGCCTCGAAAGTGGCGACAGTTTCACACAGGGATGGCGAGGTCTAATCTGAGTCCCCGTGGTGCCTCACTCCGCTGGACCCACCAGCAACCCTCGAAAGTGGCGACAGTTTCACAGATCGCAGCCCCCCAGAGATGGCGAGGTCTAATCTGAGTCCCCGTGGTGCCTCACTCCGCTGGACCCACCAGCAGCCCTCGAAAGTGGCGACAGTTTCACAGATCGCAGCCCCCCAGAGATGGCGAGGTCTAATCTGAGTCCCCGTGGTGCCTCACTCCGCTGGACCCACCAGCAGCCCTCGAAAGTGGTGACAGTTTCACAGATCGCAGCCCCCCCAGAGATGGCGAGGTCTAATCTGAGTCCCCGTGGTGCCTCACTCCGCTGGACCCACCAGCAGCCCTCGAAAGTGGCGACAGTTTCACAGATCGCAGCCCCCCAGGATGGCGAGGTCTAATCTGAATCCCCGTGGTGCCTCACTCCGCTGGACCCACCAGTCGGTGCGACTCACTCGCGACCCACCACAGCCCTCGAAAGTGGCGACAGTTTCACAGATCGCAACCCCCAGAGATGGCGAGGTCTAATCTGAGTCCCCGTGGTGCCTCACTCCGCTGGACCCACCAGCAGCCCTCGAAAGTGGTGACAGTTTCACAGATCGCAGCCCCCCCCAGAGATGGCGAGGTCTAATCTGAGTCCCCGTGGTGCCTCACTCCGCTGGACCCACCAGCAGCCCTCGAAAGTGGCGACAGTTTCACAGATCGCAGCCCCCCCCCAGGGATGGCGAGGTCTAATCTGAGTCCCCGTGGTGCCTCACTCCGCTGGACCCACCAGCAGCCCTCGAAAGTGGTGACAGTTCCGCAGATCGCAGCCCGCCAGGGATGACGTGAAAGGCAAGAGAAGAGAAGAGGAGGAGCGAAGAGAGGCGGAGAAGGGAAGCAAGAGAGGAGAGGAAGAGGGAAGAGAGGAGGAGAAGGCGGGAAGGAAGGAAGGTGGAGACCGCAGTGCTCTATTCAAAACGAGTACCCAACGCAGGAGGGTTGGGAACAAAACATACCCCACAAATTACCCTGGAGACGTACCCAACCCCTGCGCAAACGCGGGGCGCAAATAGTTTAGGACACTTTATAAGGGGGGCGATGACGGAGCGAGGGTTACATATGTCTGCGGACGGAATTCGGGAGACTTGCAGGACACTGGCTACAGGACAAGGACTAGATAGAGTTGATTAGTTACAATCCCTGAGCACCCCTAGCAGCGTCCTCGCCGCCGTCGCTGCCATCGACGACGGCGGCGACGACGCCGACGATGTCCCAAGCAAGCGGCGAACGTCCTGCTCCTCATTCGCCTCCTCCTCCTCCGACTCCGCCGCCTCCTCCTGACCCGCAGCCCCTCCGGCCCAAGGATACGGAGGTCTATTGTGGATCCGCGTAGCGCGTCACTGTGCTGGGCCCCCCAGCAGGCCTCGAAAGTGGCGACAGTTTCACAGATCGCAGCCCCCCAGGGATGGCGAGGTCTAATTTGGGTCCGCGCGTGGCGTCACTGTGCTGGGCCCCCCAGCAGGCCTCGAAAGTGGCGACAGTTTCACAGATCGCAGCCCCCCAGGGATGGCGAGGTCTAATTTGGGTCCGCGCGTGGCCCTCACTGTGCTGGGCCCCCCAGCAGGCCTCGAAAGTGGCGACAGTTTCACAGATCGCAGCCCCCCAGGGATGGCGAGGTCTAATTTGGGTCCGCGCGTGGCCCTCACTGTGCTGGGCCCCCCAGCAGGCCTCGAAAATGGCGACAGTTTCGCAGATCGCAGCCCCCCAGGGATGGCGAGGTCTAATTTGAATCCGCGCGTGGCCCTCACTGTGCTGGGCCCCCCAGCAGGCCTCGAAAATGGCGACAGTTTCGCAGATCGCAGCCCCCCAGGGATGGCGAGGTCTAATTTGAATCCGCCCGTGGCCCTCACTGTGCTGGGCCCCCCAGCAGGCCTCGAAAATGGCGACAGTTTCGCAGATCGCAGCCCCCCAGGGATGGCGAGGTCTAATTTGAATCCGCGCGTGGCCCTCACTGTGCTGGGCCCCCCAGCAGGCCTCGAAAATGGCGACAGTTTCACAGATCGCAGCCCCCCAGGGATGGCGAGGTCTAATTTGGGTCCGCCCGTGGCCCTCACTGTGCTGGGCCCCCCAGCAGGCCTCGAAAGTGGCGACAGTTTCACAGATCGCAGCCCCCCGCAGGCAAGACAGGAGGAGGCAGGCAGGAGGCAGGCAGGAGGCAGGCGGGAGGCGGGAGGAGGAAGGACGCGACCACACTGCTCTATTCAAAACGAATACCCAACCAAGGAGGGTTGGGAATAATAAAAAAACATAGTCCCAAAATAGTATGGGGACTTTTTTTGAATATTTGTTTACCTTTTTGGGGCATTTTTGTGGGTATTTTTTTTTTTGTTTCCGTCGAAAATCCCCCTGTACGGGGACAGGCCCGACGTAACGCTACTCTCTGGGCCTCTCCAGGGATGTGTGTTCTGACTCGAGTTTCGGGGCGAACCTGGCCGTGGCGACGAGGGGCGGGTAGCGGCATCGGTGCCGCTTCCTCTCCCGAACTATGGGTCGTCGGCGCCGGCGCCGCGGCTGCCGTCGCCACCACTTTCTTAGGGGGCAAACAAACCTACCTCGCTTTTGACCACCCTCGCTTCCAAAAGGTACCAAGCGATGCCAAACTACGGCCTGCACTGGTCAGGCCGCTTGACGAGGAGGCGCGTGGTATGACTTGGTTTTGCCTGGAAGCGAGCGAGAGCGGGGTAGGTAATTCACGCTCTGACTATGCGTCGTCGGCGTCGGCGCCGCGGCTGCCCTCGCCACCACTTTCTGCGCCGCTCTGCAGCCTCAACTCAGAGGCCGGCGCCGGGCGCTTGCCGATGTACCCCCCCCCGGAGATGAGGATAGAGGCTCTTCCCTTCAGGCTTCGAGGGGCCAATCCCTAACGCGGGGAGGTGATGGTAGGCTTAAGTCGGGCCTGTCCCCCTACAGGGGGATTTTCGACGAAAAATAAAAAAGTACCCCAAAAATAAAAAAACATAGTCCAACAATAGTCTGGGGACTATTTTTTGAGTTTTGTTTTGCCTTTTTGGAATATTTATGGAATATTTTTTCGTCGAAAATCCCCTGCAGGGGGACACGCCCGACATAATGGTAGGCCTGAGACACCATGGCCGGATGGGGATGGAGATGGGTTGCACGACGCTGAGACCTCGTGGGAGAACCGGCAGCGGGCGCCCGCAGAGCAGCCCTTCGCGGAGAAGAAGTGCCGGCAGGGCGAGGCGACCGACCCGCTCTCGGCGGGCGCCGCGGCCGCGGCCGCGGCCGCGGGGAGGTCTCCCTCGTGCCTCACGTAGTGCCGCGCCCCCGCGCGCCGCTTGCGCGCCTGGCCGTCGGCGCGGGCCGCGGCCCGCTTCCTGTCCAGCTCCCGGAAGTGCCTCTCCCGCCGGGCCCTCTGGCCCGGGTTCTCCTCCTGCCACCGCCGGGGCAATTATGCCCACATCCACCGCCGCGGAGCCGTGCCCTGGGATCTCGAGGGCCTCTCGAAGAGCAGAGGATGCCCCCGAGGATCCGGGATGGCAGGACTCCCGCAACAATGGACGTGGGCGCGCCGGACCTCTGGTGCGCGGCTTGCCAACCACAGCAGCCTGCGCGCTTGGATTTGGCCCCTCCGTGACCCTCGAGGGCGGTCGGGGACGCTCTGACCCGGGTCAACTGCGGGACGGGAAAATGACCACAGCCGCTACTTCTTGTTTGCGCCGCCTTCCAGCCGGCCGAAAAAGAAGCAGTGGTTGTGGTCATTTCCCTGGTGCCAAGCTCAACGAACATGACCACAACCACTGCTTTGTTTCTGCGGGCGGGCTGGAAGGCGGCAACAAAAGAAAAGCAATGGTTGTGGTCGTTTTCACGCCCCGTATCTGACCGGGGTCAACACAAGACCCAGGTCGGTCAGCGCTCTGCCGCGAAGCCTGGCCGACCGCTCCATGGCTCCCAACGCCGGGCCAGCGGAGGGCGGACAGGGGGGTGAATTCGGCCCCGTCTGGCCATCACTCGGACGTCCAGTCCCTGTGCTTTTTTTCGATTTCGTGCGTGGTTTTTTCGCCAAATGATCAAGGATGCTCCTCGATGGTCCCCGCCGAAGAAACAATGCACACGTCCGAGCGATGCCAAGCCGCCTTGCTCCCAAGCCCGGGTCAGGCAGAGGGGGCTGGCGGACCCCCGCGGGCGCGGGCCACCTCGCAGGCCCCGCGCACCAGAGGGGCGGCTGCACGCAGGAGTGACCCCTGGGCAGGACCGACCTCTGGGGGGGGCCCCTTGGGGACACCGCCAGGCGCGCAAGCCGCTGCTTTCGCATCGCATTCAGGTGTCGGGAGCGGCCAAGAGGGGGGGCGTCCAAGAGGGGGTGTGCAAATCATGACCGGCGGCATGTGCGCGGCCCAGCGGGGGGGCTGGGGACGTAGTTAATGAATCAAGAAGAGGCGCCCTGAGATCTGGGGAGATATCATGGCCCCCGCCATGATATCCACCCCCCCTAGTCATCACCCCCCTCTTTTCCGCCCCCGAAGGTGATGGGGGCCCCAGCGGGCCCGGGCCGAGGATCACTCCGGCGAAAGGCCACTCTAACAGTCAGGGCGCTGAGGTAAGGACCGCTCTGGGCTCGGAGGGGGCTCGCCGTTACCAATGCGCCCCTGCGTGGCGGCTCCGCCGGCACTCCTCGTGCACCTGGGCGCTCCTGGGGCCACCAAGGGGCCCCGTTCCTTCTTCAGCGCTCCTTTTGGCAGTACCTTTGATTCGGGCGTGTCCCCCTGCAGGGGGATTTCCGACGACAAATAAGACATACCCCAAAAGATACTCCAAGATGGTCAAAAAGCACTTCCCAAGAATAGTCCCCAGACTGTTGATGGACTTTTGTTGGAATCTTCCTCCTGTAGAGGGACGGGCCTGACTTCACAGCACCTCGACTGTGCGTGCAGCCGACGGGGGGCCGCTCTTGCTCGGCACGAACGAAATGGGTACGGAAAGAACGGGTACGATGCCCAACAGCAGTTCCTGCTCATTTTGTACAGGACTCGCTGTCCGCGGCGCCGCGGCCCGTGCCCGTTTGAGACAGAAGGCCGCCTGCCCAACAGCGGCCGCTGTTGGCGTGGGACAACATATGTTGTTGGGCATTGTGCCCATTCTTTCGGCTACACGCAAGAGTGACCCTGGGTAAGAGTGACCTTTGGTGCGCGGCTTTTTGGGACCGCGGGGGGGGGCCAAAAACAGGCGCGCGAGCCGCTGCTGCCGCTTCTCTTTCGGCCATCTGGGGGCCCACCTGTGCCCGCACCAAAAGGTCACTCCGGCGACAGGTCACTCTTACGCCTAGTCGATTCTTTCTGTACCCATTTCTAGAAGCCTCCTAGGTGGGGTCGGAGTAGATGAGGTCGGAGGATCGCGACGCATCGCCGATACATCGGCGATGCATCAGCGATGCATCGGCAATGCTCTGGCGATGCATTGTCGACATGGGCGATGCATCGGCGACGCCAGCGTGGAGAAAATCCGGCTCCGCATCGCGCCGCATCGCCGATGCATCGGCGATGCGGCGCGATCCTCCGACCCCATCTACTCCGACCCCATCTGGGAGGCCTAGAATTTCGGGCGTCCAAACTTGCGTGCCGCCGGCCCCCGGCGGTGCCGCTCCTGGCGCCGGCGCACGTCCTCGGCGGAGCGCAGCAGGCCGGCGGCCTCCAGCTCCCCGCGGGAGGCGAAGACGAGGCGCCCGCCCCGCAGGCGCTCGGGCGGCAAGGCGCTCCAGGAGCCGTCGCCCCACGTCACTCGAGCAGGGGCCGACCGCCCTGGCAGGCCTGTAGCCCTACCGCGAACTGTTCGTAGAATTCAGGCGAGCCTGGCCCCCTACAGGGTGATTTTGGGCGAAGAATGTAAAACAATAGGCAAACAAATGCCCCAAAGGTCAAACATTGTCAAAACGTCGTGTCCCCATCTTATTTTTTTGACCATTTTCGAATATATTCCTCCTGTAGAGGGACGAGCCCGACTTCATCGTAGAACCCAAAAATGTTCTAATATCAAAACAATGTTCTTAGAAAACATAGGCTCAATGTGGTAAAACAAGACAGGCTCAGCCAGACATGTTCCAAGAACATTTCGTGGAAACCACAGAAGGTTCTTAGAACATTGTTTGGTAGGGCCATAGGCGAGCCAGGACGCTTCGCCACTGCTTGACGTCACGGTGGGCGCACCGCACGGCTCTGGGCGGCAGGGGTGCCACACGCCTCGGCGGCGTCGAAGGTGGGGTCACTGAGGGACGACTGCCTACCAGGCCACCCCAACCCAACCCGAAGACCCGAATTTCGGGTTGGGGGGGGGGGTACGGGTTCCTTATGTGTTTTCACAATGTTCCCCGACCCCCCCCCCACTGAAAATGGAGGGGAAATTGAGGCCTTCGGGTTGGGTTGGGCTGGTTTGGTGGGTGGTCGAGGGACGGGGGGCCCCGAGGGCGAGTGTGGAGGCTGGCCCAAGTGGGGTCCGAGCAGATGACATCGGAGGGGATCGCGCCGCATCGCCAGTGCATCGCCAATGCATCGCCGACGCAACGGAGGTACATCGGCGACGTCGGCGACTCATCGGCGCCGTCGGCGTGGAGACAATCGGCTCCACATCGAGTCGCATCGCTGCTACATCGGCGATCTGGCGCGATCCTCCGACCCCATCTGTTCGGACGGCCTGGAGAGAGGCCTCAAGCAGCAGCAAAGAGGCTCAGCTTGGGACGCAGTTCCTGCTCCCAGGGCCCCGCCCCGTCCCTCAGGACCCCACCTTTGGACCGCCGACCGTCGTCCCACAGCCCCTCCGCGGCGCCGCGCCGCGCCGCGCGCAGGGCTCGCCGGGTGCTCGGCCCGAAGCCGCCGCAGACCCACACCGCGAAGAAGGGGCACACCGGCCGGCCGGCGCCGTGGACGTGGTCGAAGCTGTACCTGGCAGGCCGGCCCCCGTCGCCGCGGGGGCACGCGAAGAAAACCCGCGGCTCGCCCGCCTGCGGGGAACAGGATGTCGCTTCGCCCCCAGCGCAGTGATGATGAGACTTGCCAGCTTCCCCGCTGAGGGCGAGGGGGCTCCGCCCTGCGAAGCATCAGCCCGCCTCTGGGGGGGCAGGACGGTGCCGAGGTACAGTCAACCCGTATAAAAAGGACGCACGATGAGGATGCAAGGGCCTTGGCAGGCCATGTCGACACTTTGCGAGCGGGGCGCGGCCAGCGAAAGCGGTCACGGATGGGCCGACGGGGAAGGACACAAAGGGTAACCTTGGAGAGTCGCTCATCCTAACTATACGGGTTGGCTGCACGGGGGACGCTGCTCCCTGGGCCTCCCAGAGCGTCTGGCAGCACCTATGGGAGCGCCTGGGAGTGCCTGCGGGGCGCCTGCGGGGCGCCTGCGGGGCGCCCGGGAGCGCCCGGGGGCGCCCGTGCGCGGTTGGGGGAGGCCCAAGGCAAGGCGAGAAAGAGGAGAGGATATCGGCGTCGGCGTCGGTGTGGCTTTCTCTTCAGAGCCTCGGGCAGCTTGGCGAGGTCGCGGAGGAACCTCCTGCAGACGGCCTTGCTCATCGTCCACGACGGCAGCAGCAACATGAACGGCTCGGGCACGCCACGGTCCCGCGCCCGCCTCTGCCTCCCGAGCACGAAATCGAAGAGGCGCTCCTTGTGGTCCTCGCCATGCGGAGGATTTCCGACGACGACGGCGCCGATTCGTTTCGCTTCGGACTGGTCTCCGCAATTCGTGTTGTTCTGATTTTCGCCTGCGTGAGCATGGGCACTGCGGATCTGGGCCTCCAGGGGCTTGCCCTGGGCGTGCGGGATGTACGGGATTGCATGGGGCCTCTGGGGGGCCTCTGGGGTGCCTGAGGGTGCCTGGGGCAACCTACCTGGGGTGTTCCTGGGGTGCCTGGGGTGTCTGGGCGTCTGGGGTGCCTGCCGCAGCTGGGGGACCTGGGCGTCTGGGGCGTCGGAGGCGTCGGCGCTCCTCGCTGTACGGTGGGTTTGTGACGAGCACGTCGTACTTAGGCACCGCCCCCTCCGCGATGTCCCGGTAGAAGTCGCGCCGGCGATTGATGACTTGCGGGTAGCCCAGACCACGGAGCAGCTCGACGGCGCGGCCGCTGCAGAAGTAGGGGTCGTAGACGCGGAGTCGCTCCTCTGCGGGCCCGAGCAGTATCCACCACCACGCTGTGCCGCGGCTCGTGTGTGTGTGTGTGTGTGTGTGTGTGTGCGTGTGTGTGTGTGTGTGTGTGTGTGTCCGTGTGTGTGTGTGTGTTTGTAGGCGTACCTTTTCCTGCACTTCGTCTTCGGCACTGCCTGATCCCAGGGCTTTGCCCTCTCTCGACCTTGACGTGAGACCCCGCCTTCTTTTGCCTCCCCTCTGCTAATTAAAGCTGTGCACGGCCCGCTTAGCTTCTATTGGAAGAGGCTCGCTCTCGACCCGCCGATAAAAACAAGTGTGTGCGGGGGTCACATGCATCGCGCGAATGCCTTCTCTCCACGGCGTCAGAAGAACACGTGCGAGTGTACGTGCGTGTGTGTGTGTGTGTGTGTGTGTGTGTGTCGTGCCGTCACCTGCTGCCTTGCCGTCTCGTCCTGCGTTTGCTGTCCCTCCTGCCTACTCTCTTCGTGAGGCAATTGGCTCCCACTGGGCTCGTTCACCAGCTCCTGCCGTTTCTAGCTCGCACTTCGCCGTCCCTCGCGGATGCCCCCTCCGTGAGCTCCCGCGCTGCGTGGCGGTCCCCGCTCTCCGCGCTGGGGCTGCTTGGATGTGAGCGCAGGGCACGCGCTGTGCCCGAGGATCCGCTTCCGTTTGCCCGGCTCCGCCGCGTCGCTGCGCGGGCGCGGCTGTGGCGCCAAAAAGTGCGGCCAGCATGTGCCCCCTTTTTGCTCAAGCCCCTAGCCTGTCGGCGGTGGACAAACCTCTTTTTAGTACACCTCCCTTTCGTGCAAACGGCCCAGGACCGAAACCGACGGACCTGGACCCGCGAACGTGATGGCCGCGACGCCCTTTCGCGAACCGAAAACGGCAAATTCGCTAATCGACGTGTCAGGGTAGGAGGTCTGTCAACCTCCGAGCCTGTAGCCCCACTGCAGCACGGTGGCGCATGCGCGTGGCAGCAGAATTGCGCCGAGAACCATCCCACAACTCCGATCCTGCTGCGCTCAGCACGTGGACCGTGGACCGTCCATAGCTCTGAGAGAACGCGTCTCGTCGACTTTCGCCTGGACACAAACACCCTGACACGTTGGAGCCAGGGAGGGGGTCCCCAAAACATTGAGCGCCCCTGGAAAGCCGGGTGGGGGGGTCGAACTGGGGGGGTGGGCTCTGTCCAGGGGGGGGGGGTCGATCAGGCCAGGGGCCCCCCTCATCCCCCTGAGCTGCAAGGGAAAGGGGCTCGAACGGGTCCCTCTCCCCCTTGTCCAAAGGGGGGTTCGTGCAAATGGCGAAGTTGCACCCTGAAGATGCTTCTCGCAAACTCTTGATGGAGACGGCGGCCGCGCTGACTGAGCCGAAATCATTCCGTGAAGTCATCACGACGTGCAACTGCCGGGAGTGCTACGAGTCTGAGAAGGGCACCAACATTGAGATGTGCTTCGGTCCGAAGGGGCAGCAGCTCAAGGCGGTGATGATTGAATACTTTGAGTCAGTAGATGGTGGCTCTGTGTATGATGGCAAGCCCCCGCGCGGCAAGGGAGTGCGCAACGTGGCTGCTGCACTCAAGGCAGTGCAAGCCGCCATGCAGTAGACTTCTCGATTTCTCTTCTTGTCTCTGTGTCCTTCTGTCCCCTCGGCTGCGTGGCGTGCGCGTGTGTGCGTGTGTTTTGTTTGTGTTTGTTCTTTTCTCGTCTGTCCCTCGTCCTCTCCCGCTCCCCTTCCATATCATCCATCCAGGCTGATAGATCGCTTGATTGGATTTGAGCGTCCAGCGGAAGCGCCCTCACCCTGAGGGCGGGTCCGCTGGGGGCGCGCCGCGCCCGAAAGAGGCGGCGACAGCACGGCCAACTTTAATCCTGGCTATATGACAGAACTCTGGCCTCCTGCTGGTGTCTCATCTCATCATCATCAAAGGGGGGTTCGAACCGGGGGGTGGGGCCCCCCTGAGTTTCAAGGGGGGAGGTTCGAACCGCTTCCTCCCCTTGTCCAGGGGGGGGGAGGGTTCGAACGCGGAGCGCCCCCCCCCTCACGAGTTGCAGGGGAGGGGGGAATTCGAACCGGGCCCCCTCCCCTGCAACCGACGACGACGAGCGCTGGCGCCGGCGCGGGAGCCGTCGGGCAGCAACGACGACGACGACGACGACGGCGTCTACGACGGTGACGACGGCGATGACGACGGCGACGGCGACGACGACGGGTGCTCGCTTGCTGGAATGTAAGCATGCGAGCGAGCGAGTGAGGGCAGGATGGAGTCGGTTCTCTCGCTCGCTCGCTCGAGCAAGCGAAAGAGGGGGGCGGGGCGGGTTGGGCGGGCGGGGCATAAATGCACAGTGGTCGCCTGCTCGCTCGCTAGCTGGAGCAGACATGCGAGCGAGTGAGCCGGGCGGGGCGGGTCGGTCGGAACATTAAATGCATGGTGCTCGGTTCGAGCGGGCGGGATAATAAATGCATGGTGCTCGCTTGCTTGCTCGCTCGCTCGAGCAAGCGAGCGAGCGAGCGAGTCGGGCAGGTCGGGTCGGGCGGGCGGGACAGAAATACATGGTGTTTACGTGGTCGCTCTGTCGCTTGCTCGCTCGAGGAAGCGAACGAGCGAGCGAGGGGGGCGGGTCGGGTCGGGTGGCGGGACATCAAATGCATGGCGCACGCATTCTCGCTCGCTCGCGAGCGAGGGAAAGGATCGATCGTCGTCGTCGTGATCGTCGGCGTCGTCGGCGTCGTCGTCGTCGTTGCCGCCGCCGCCGCCGTCGCCGTCGCTGTCGTCGTTGTCGTCGCCGTCGCCGTCACCATCGCCGTCGCCGTCACCGTCGCCGCCTTCGTCGTCGTCGTCGTCGTCGTCGTCGTTGTCGTCGACGTCGTCGTCGTCGTCGTCATCTTCGTCGTCGTCGTCGTTGTCGTTGTCGTCGTCGTCGTCGTCGTCGTCGTCGTCGTCGTCGTCGTCGTCGTCGTCGTCGTCTTCGTCGTCGGCGTCGTCGGCGTCGCCGTCACCGTCGTCGTCGGCGTCGTCGTCGTCGGCGTCATGCCGTCGTCGCCGTCGTCGTCGTCGTCGTCATCGTCGCCGCCGCCGCCGTCGTCGTCGGCGTCGTCGTCGTCGTTGCCGCCGTCACCTTCGTCGTCGTCATCGTCGTCGCCGTCGTCGTCGTCGGCGCCGTCGTCGGCGTCGTCGTCGTCGTCGGCGTCAACTTCGTCGTCGTCGGTCGTCGTCGTCGTCGTCGTCGTCGTCGTCGTCGTCGTCGTCGTCGTCGTTGTCGTTGTCGTCGTCGTCGTCGTCGTCGTCGTCGTCGTCGTCGTCGTCGTCGTCTTCGTCGTCGGCGTCGTCGGCGTCGCCGTCACCGTCGTCGTCGGCGTCGTCGTCGTCGGCGTCATGCCGTCGTCGCCGTCGTCGTCGTCATCGTCGCCGCCGCCGCCGTCGTCCTCGTCCTCGTCGTCGCCGTTGCCGCCGTCAACTTCGTCGTCGTCATCGTCGTCGCCGTCGTCGTCGTCGGCGCCGTCGTCGGCGTCGTCGTCGTCGTCGGCGTCAACTTCGTCGTCGTCGTCGCCTCGTTGTCGTCGTCGTCGTCGTCGTCGTCGTCGTCGTCGTCGTCGTCGACGCCGGCGTCGTCGTCGTCGTCGTCGCTGCCCGGCGGCGCCGACGCCGGCGCCGGCGCTCGCCGTAGTCGGTTGAAGGGGGGGGGGCCAGTTCGACCCCCCCCTTGCAATGCAGGGGGGCCCCCCACCCCCGGCTCGAACCACCCCCTTGAAAGCGGGGGGGCCTCCCCCTCAGCTCGACCCCCCCTTTGTGCACCGGGGGGGAGGGCCCACGTCCCGGTTCAAGCTGGGGGTGCCCCCTTCCCGATTCACCCCCCCCTCGCTTTCCAACGTCCATACAACGCGCTCTCTCAAAACTCTCGACCTCTTTGCAAGGACTGTATCTTCGTCCGGGATCGTCTCTGGACAGCCCTGGAGCCCGAGAGACTCCCCACGAGGCCGAACAACTTATGAAAGAAACCTTCGCCTGTTTTTCAAGACGTTTGAGGTCTGGGTGCTTTCAAGACGTTGGAGGTCTGGGTGCCCTGTGAACTCCCTCTCTCCTCCACGCTGGGGAAACCAACATCTACCGATACCCCAACTCTCGGGACCTCTCCCATTGTGCTGTCCGACGAGAGTTTCGAGGCGAACCCGGCCTTGGCGAAGAGGGCCTCCCAAGAACCCCAAAAAAGCGAGAGCGAGGCCGGGACCGCGGTATCGGCACCCCGTCCTCCTCCGACCCCCTCCGCCTCCCTCTTGCCCAGACGGTGGGGAGAGGGGGCCCAGCCGATTGGGGACAAGGTCTGAGGCCCTTCGCGGTTCCTCTGGATCGGGGAAGGCTGAGCAGTGGTTCTCCTCCTCCTCCTCCTGCTCCTCCTGCTCCTCCTCCTCCTCCTCCTCCTCCTCCTCCTAGCTCCTCCTGCTCCTCCTCCTAGCTCCGCGCATTCTTGAGCCCGGCGCGCGCCTCCGCGCCCGCGAGGGGCCTGCCCCTCGCGCGGGCCCGGCTGCGCGCCGCCACGCGGAGCAGGGGCGCGATGTCCCGGTACGCCTCTCCGGGCGCATCGCTCGGACGTCCAGTCCCTGTGTTTTTTTCGGTCTCGTGCGTGGCTTCTTCGCCAAAGGATCAAGGATGCTCCTCGGTGGTCCTCGCCGAGAAAAAAAATGCACACGCCCGAGCGATGCCAATCTTCGGGGGCCCCGAAGCTGCCCCGTCTCGGCGGCGCGCCCCTCGGGGGAGGCCGAGAGGCGCCGGCCTCCTCGGAGGGCCCGCAGGGCCCCCTCGGCTCCCGATGAGACGCCCTCGGGAGCTTCTCCGCGGCCAGAGGGCGGAGCCCCGTCGCCGGCACCGAGGAGGCCGGCCCCGCCTCGCGCTTCCTCCCCGTCGGGGCGCCGCCGACCCCAATCGCGGAGGCCAAGGGCAGGGCCCCCCCCCTTCGCCGGAGGCCCCATGGAGATGCCAGGCGGAGAGCCGCTCCGAGGTGGAGGGCCCAGGCCCCCAAGACCGTCGAGGCACCCCTGCAGAGCAGGGCTGCTCTTGACCCTCGTTCCAGCGGAAGCTCCTCGCACCTCCGACTGCGGTGTGCCATCCTCGCAGTTCTGCCCGCGGGGGCCCGTCTCGGGCCCCCGGGCCGTCCAACGACGGGGGCGGAAGAGCCAGACCCAGGGAAGGGATCTCGGAGATCCCGAACCTGCCTGGTCGCTAGAATCGACGAACGCGCTCTACTACTCGCAAAGGAACTACTCGCAAGTGGCCTGGATCCCCCGCGGGGGACCTGCGATACAGTCCATCGAGGCAAGCATGTGTGTGTGTGTGTGTTTCGGACCTTTGCGAACAGGCACTTTGCGAGTAGTGGAGCGCGCTCGGCGATAAAGGCGACTCCCCCCTGGGGCTCCGGGGATGTCCACCTGCTCCCTGGGGCCGGCACTACACCCATGGCGTGCCTCTGCCCGCCCCGGCGGCCGGGCAACGGCCCCCCCCCAGAGGCAGGCCACGCAGCAGCAGCGACGGCAGCGCGCCCAGATCCTGAGGGCACTCTCGCCCCCCCAGACCCTGGCAGGCCCTGGCAGGCCCCGGGGCCTCCACCGACGTCTCGAAGTGATCGCCCGCGTCCGTCTCGTACGGCCACTCGGAGGGCCCGCGGGGGTCGTCGCCACAGGCCGGCGCAGGCGCGCTGGCCATGGGCCTCCAGTGGCGGAGCCGCGCTGGCCATCGCTCGGGCGTCCAGTCCCTGTGTTTTTTTCGGTTTCGTGCGTGGCTTTTTCGCCAAATGATCAAGGATGCTCTTCGATGGTCCCGGCCGAAGAAAAAATGCACAAACCCGAACGATGCCAAGCGCGGGGCGGCCGCGCTCGGTGGTGGGGCGGCGGGGAGGCGTGACTGGCGGTGCCCACGCTGCGCGGCCGGCGGCGCTCCTGAGCCGATCCGCGTCTTGCCTGTGCGCGCACACGGGGGTAAAACGGGGCTGGCCATCGCTCGGACGTCCAGTCCCTGTGTTTTTTTTCGGTCTCGTGCGTGGTTATTTCGCAACTGATCAAGGATGCTTCTCGATGGTCCCCGCCGAAGAGAAAATGCACACGTCCGAGCGATGCCAAGGGTGGGTGGGGGTGGGGGGGACGACTCCTCAGAAGGAAGCGGAAGCTGCTTCTTAGAGGAGGCGCTGGCCTTACGTTTAGGTCGGGCCTGTCCCCCTACAGGCCGATGTTGGACGAACAAATAAATAAAACATGCCCTAACATGTTCGAAGCATTGTAAACAAATCGTCCCAGGACTATTTTTTTGACAACTTTTGAATTTCCCCCCTGAAGAGGGACAGGCCCGACTTGACTATTACATCTCTGTAGACAGGGCCCGCGCCGTTTGCAATGCAAGAAGCAGGTGTGCTTCTCAAAGGCGCCTCGCCCCCCTCCCTCTGCCCCCCTGCCACCCTCTGCGCGAGGGCGAACACTTGCCATCGCTCGGACGTCCCTGTGCACTTTTCGGCTTCGTGCGTGTTTAGGGAGCCCACAAAGGACGTACGCGCCCAGCTATGTACATGAACGCTGCCCCTCGATCTGCGAGACTGGCCGCGTGATACGAACAGTTGCGCAACGCATGCTCTCGAAACCAGCGTGGATTCATGTACGTGTACCTCCTTCTGTCGCTCCTGAGTGTTTTTGTTTGTTCAACACCTACGGTAGCATTTTGCTCTTCTCCGGTACTTCGCCACCGGGCTCCTGCCGAAGGCGTCCCTTTGCAAGCACTTCGGCTTCGGCACCTCCTGTATCCGAGGCTTTGCCTCCTCTCGTCCTCGCTCTGAGGCTCCGCCGCTTCCTCCCTCCTCTTTTTTGCCTAATTCAGAATTCGCGCGGCCCGCTTAGCGTCGACCGGAAGAGGTGCGCTCTCGACCCGCGGATCAAGAGTGTTCTTGCTTGCTCGATACTCCAGGATGCTCCTCCAGGGCCCTCGCCGAGAAAAAACTAGATGCACACGTCCGAGCGATGCCAGGCACGAAGACGGGCAGGGACACGCTCGGGCGAGAGGGACCGGGCGAGGGCCGGCCCGGGCTCGGCGGGCCGCCCGGCGCCGGCCTCGAGGTCCTCCTCCTCCTCCTCCTCCTCCTCCTCCTGCTGCGCAACCGTCGGTCCTCGTTCCTCGATCCCGCCTCCTCCTCGACCCCTCCTCGGTCTTCGACCCTCCACCTCCACATCCTCCTGTTGCTCCTCCTCCTCATCCTTCTCCTCCTCCTCCTCCTCCTCCTCCTCCTCCTTCCTCCTCCTCGCAGGGGCGGGCCCGGGTCCTGCGGGCCGCCCGCGACGACCTCGACGCTCTCCAGGCCGTTCCGCCGGAGGTTCTCCCGCGCGGCCTTTGCTCGGCGCTCCCCGCCTCATCATCATCATCATCATCATCATCATCATCATCATCATCATCATCATCATCATCATCATCATCATCATCATCATCGTCATCATCGTCATCATCGTCATCGTCATCGTCATCATCATCATCATCATCCTTATCCTTATCCTTATCCTTATCCTTATCATCATCATCACCATCATCATCATCATTACCATCATCAGCATCATCATCATGATCATGGTGATGATCATCATCATCATCAGCATCAGCATCATCATCATCAGCATCATCATCAGCATCAGCATCAGCATCATCATCATCATCATACTCATCATGATCACCATGATCATCAACATCAACATCATCATCATCATCATCATCATCACCAACATCATCATCAAATCGACATAATCAGATCGACGGCGACGCAACGTACTTGGCTCCGAACCGAGTGAGAATCCCTTCGCTGATCTTGCTGTCTCAAGGGTCCCGGCAGGCGGGGTAAACCAGGAGGTGGGGACATCACGTTGGACGCCCGAAACGGGTACGGGAAAAATGGGTACGATGCCCATCAACACATATTGTCCACAACTGACAGCGGCCGCTGCTGGGCAGGCGACGCTGTATCTCAGACGGGCAACGTTCGCGGCGGCGCCGACAGCGAGTCCGGTTCAGCCTGCTTCAGCCTCAGCCTCACTCTGCCTTCAGCCTCGGCCTCAGCCTCAGGCTGCCTCAGCCTCAGGCTGCCTCAGCCTCAGCCTGCATCAGCCTCAGCCTCAGCCTCAGCCTGCCTCAGCATCAGCCTGCCTCAGCCTGCCTCAGCCTGCCTCTGCCTCAGCCTCAAGATGAAGAGGAGCCACAATCGGCCTTCGGACCAATTCTTCACGCACCCGACTCGACCGCTCCCCGCGCCCCCTCCGCCTCCCGCCGTGCCTGCTGCGGTGCCTCACTTCGCCTCGGAGAAGCGCCCCTCCGTTGCTCGAGCGCTGCTCTCGAGTCCGGCGGCCACGGACAGCACAGAAAACGTTCGAACGCTCCGAAGCACGGCCCGCACGGCACAACCCGTGTGCGGCTCCCGCCGGGGCTTCGGCGACAGGCCGCCGTCGGCGGCCAGGGAGCTGCGGCCGGCAGCGCGCGGCGCGCAGCGTGCCCTCCGCGGGGCCTCGCGCCGAGGCGCAGCTGCCTCACTGCGGCGGCGACAGCTGCGCGACGAGAAGGAGCAGGACCTGACGCCGCGGCTTACGCGGGCCGCGAGCGCGGCACGCTGCAGTCGGGCCGCCGAAAGAAGGAGCGCCAGATGAGGAACGAGGCCCCTGCTTGGCCCTGTCAGCGCCTCCATGCCCCAGGAGGGCAAGAGGAACAGCACTGGAGGAACCCAAGGAACATCGAGCCCCTTCCGAACCCAAACTGTTCCTCATTTCAGCGTCTGGACTGTACATGGGAACCGAGGGCGCTCACGCGCGACCTTGCGCGGGCAGCTTGCGCGCCAACGCCCGTGCCGTCGGCGGCAGGGGTCCAGCGGCGGCGGCGGGCCTCGGCGAGGGACGGGTCGTCCTCGAAGGCCACGTACCGCCAAGGCGCGGGGTCTGCTCCGGCGAGCAGGTGCCTCTCTGCCGGGCCGTGCTCGCTTAGCCAGGAGGAGGGAGGGTTGGGAAGGCGGGAGAGGAGAGGACGGTGAGGATGAAAAGCGGGCAAGGGCGGCAGGCCAGAAGGATAAAGAGGGATCGATCTACATATATATATATAGAGAGAGAGAGAGAGAGAGAGAGGGAGAGAAGGATGCCCGAACCCTTCTCCTCTTCCTCCTCCTGCTCTCCTTCTGTCTTTCAGAACGGCACTGCGGGCCCCCAAGGTCAGGCGCAGCGGAATGAGCAACATTCCAATCTCAACGGCTGTCAGGCCAGGCATTGGGGCGCATAGGGGGATTTTCCATCAGCACGAATTGAAAACCCTCGCTCCCCAGACCCCCTTCCCGCCAGGGTTCACATGGTGAGACATGCTTCTGCCATTTCCCCCTGGGCCCCCGTAGCTCCACAATCTCGGCACCAGTAGAGCCCCAGGCGGAATTCTTGCAATCGACATTGTGCGAAGAGAGGCTGGCCTCTCCATGCAGGCCTCGCGCCACCACGTCGACACATTGCGTTGCAGCTTGGCCCCGTAGATCCCGCACTTGAGGTAACCGTTGGAATCTTTTTGGGCCTGCTGCGGAAACGCGGCCACGGCCACGGCCGCGCCGCCCGCGGCGGCCGCGAGCACCGCGGCCCGCCAGCGCCGTGGGCGCGGGCGCGGCCGTGGGTTGCCGTGCCGTGGCTGCGCGGCCGCTGGGCAGGCCGAGCTGTGTAGGGCCGCGGCCCCGGCCGCAGCTGCGCCGCCCGCGCCGCCCTGGGGGCCGACCGGCCGGGGAGAGAACCCTTGCGGCGACGGCAACGGCGACGTCGACGCCGGCGCGCCGACGACGCCAGCGCGCCGACGACGCCGACGCCGACGCCGACGACGCCGACGACGCCGACGGCGCCGACGACGCCGACGGCGGCGCCGACGAGGCCGTCGCCGGCCAGCCCGGGGCCCAGGGCTGGGCGCGGGCGGTGCTCGACGAGACAGGGCGGGGCGAAGGCTGGCTCGGGCCGGGACACGCGAGGCCCGAGGCGGGCCTCGAAGTGTGACCTCGATCGCGCTCTGCCCGGGCTCTGCGCGGCTGCGTGCTCGCTGGACGCGGCCGCCTGCTTCCTGGAGGCGGCGCGGACGCGCAACGCTGCGGAGGCCCGATCGGAGGAGGAGGAGGAGGAGGAGGAGGAGGAGGAGGAGGAGGAGGAGGAGGAGGAGGAGGAGGAGGAGGAGGAGGAGGAGGGCGGCAGCGGCGGCGAGAGCCCCGCCGCGGCCGCGGCGCGCGGGGGCGCCTGCCGAGCGCCGCGGCGTGCGCCCCGAAGCCGCAGCCGACCTCCGCCAGCAGCGCGGTCCGGCCGGCCGTGCCGGCACCGTGCCTCAGCGGACGCAGCGCCTCGTCGTCGCGGTCGTCGTGCTCGTCGTCGTCGTCGTCGTCGTCGTCGTCGTCGTCGTCGTCGTCGTTGTCGTAGTAGTAGTGCTCGTCGTTGTCGTCGTCGTCGTCGTCGTCGTAGTAGCTCCTGGTCCTGCTCGCATGCCTGCTCGTGCTCGAGCGATCGCTCCGACCCTGACGACCGCGACGACGACGACCGTGACGACCACGACGACAGAGCTGCTGGCGGGCTGCGCCGAAGCCAGGCGACAGCGCGGTCGTCGTAGTCGTCGTGGACGCCGTCGTCTCGTCGTCGTTTCAATCATTGTCGTCCTCGCAGTCGTGGTGGTGGCAACCATTCTCGTCG